TTTATACCACAGGTAGGGATTATTGCTAGAGCCACTGTATCATAGGGTAATTAATTTCACTAGTGGCTTCTGCATTCTTAGTAGTTCTAGGAGGCTGTGCTAGTGACTGGTTTCAAATATATAGAGTGCATATTTATACATACCACTGTGGAATTTATTTTACTGTGTAAATAGTGATATTTTCCTGTTCAAATGCTTCTATACAAAGTATTTATTTTAACAAAATTAGTTAACCGTCAAAAGGGCTTTCCAAAAACTTCTTGCCATCTGTTCTCCCAGCTCCCATGCTCAACTCTCAACCCCTAGACATTACAGTAAAGGCAGGAGGCTGTAACCGGGAAACCCTTACTGTATTTGGGTAAACACAGCGTAGATCGGGAACCTTAATGCTGCTCCCTCTGATGCTCCATCCCAGACCAAAGTGGGGCTTGAAGGGGTATAACTTTGCTCAGCCCAGCATCAGGACTTCCCCCAGCAGCCCAACTCACACATGCACCATTGGTACGTACGTACGTACGTTCAGCTGTTGACTTCCATGGCCTGTGCAGGAATTGACTTTGGTTGTAGTCCCAGGGCAAGCAGACTCATGCCTATGCAATGAGGAGAAACCACTGTGGTTGCCAATGTGAGCTTCTAGTCTGGCTTTCAGAATTCATGAGAGTCATCCTTTCACACATCGATAGGAGACACACGTCACCTTCTGCACATTGAAAAAACTTGGGAACACCTTGGCTTTCCTCCTCACCCTTTCCCATCAAGCATCTGTGCAGATGTGGCCCCATCCCACCCATCTATAACCCATGGTTCTAAAATGTATTCAGCTTTACTTCTCAGGAGTCCTGGTCTGCAATTCAGAGCACCCTAGATGTCATGAAACCAATGCTTCATGGTTATGCATGCCCCTTTTCCCTGTACCTCATCCATGGGCACCCAATCTGTCACCATGCTACTCTGCCAGGATGGCTGGGTTGACCTGCAGCTCCAGGACTCTAGGGTGCTTGGAGACCAGGTATGAAGGGATTACTGTCAGCCATTTGAACTGTAGTTTGCGTATTTCCTACGGCCTCCCTTTGCCTTTTCTAAACAAGGAAGGCACTTGAACAGCAATGCTGGAGAATGTTTTTCTAAGATGCTGTTTGTAAGCAAATCTGATTTTGAGATGAAATGTGAATGGATAACTAGGTGCCAGGGAATTTAGCACTGAATTAGACAGTCAAAACTTTTTTATCCTTTGCAGAAAGTAGATTCTGTTGTCATCTAAATATTCACAAGATGTAATGCTGTAAATAGTTTTCTAAAAATATTTATTACATGTGCTGTATGCAGACTCATGTTCTGAGTGATGTTGGTTTGCATTGTATTGTAGAAGAATATATTTTGAGTGGTGGACTTCTTTCATAATACAGTTCACTCATGGAGAAAGAAACAAAACCAGCAGGTTGAGAGCTGTTTGGGGCATTTGATCTGTAATGGACCATCCAATCCAAGCTTTAACTGCCCCCTCTTCTCATCTGGTTGTGTTATATATATATTATATATATATACAGGTGTACAGTAAATTGGTCAGTGCCCGGGTCTGCAGAGCAGACTTCCAGGTGTTCTTTCTGATGTGTTTCCATAGCAATACGACCCCAGGTGCTGACCAGTCCTGTTGTCTCAGAGGATCGGGTTGGGGGACAGCTCTTGTGAAGCCTCTTGCCTTTCCTAAGAGGCTGCTTTACTTGAATTGTTGCTTCTATTTCTTCTGCACGCTCCCATGTCTCAGAACTGTAGCAGTGTATGGGAACTCTCCTAGCACCAGACACATCAAAAGTGGACACGCCAATTGAAAGGTTAGCGATTTCCCAGGAACTTGTTTCCAGAACAGATGAGACAAAGCTCATTTGGCCATAGAATAAATGTAAGGAATTTTTACCTGAGAAACATATGTGGCCTATTATATTTCCCCCTGCTCTGTCTGACTCACCTTTAGAAGCCAACCTGTGTCCTGCCTTCTGCCTCTATGCCTCAGCTCAAGATGTCCATGGTCCCGAGAGTCTGCTTAGGCTCTTAGTGTGTCCAACTCTGTTGAGCAGCCTTTCCTTGTGACCGTCCTAAACTTAATGAAAAGGAATACCCACACCCAGATAACCACTGTTAGAAGTGATGTAGTTTTTTAGGCTTTTGGAATATGTCTCTCTTTTTTTAATATATATATATATATATTTCTGATGGTGTTTGGGATTTTTCACTAGTGTTTTTTAGATTGAAGTGGGTGCATTAAGGTAAACTTTCCACTGCTGAGCCCAGAAGCATGCAGAGGAAAGAACTTGCCCTGCATTGTGTTGTTGGGGAGGTGACTACTTCTGGTGAGGGGTGGGGGGAGGGTCCTGTAGATGATCTGGAGGTGAAATAGAAGTTCTGACCAGACGTTTCCTAAGTCTTTGATATTTTGTAATGAAAATCCCCACCTTAGCCTCGCTTAATCTCAATGTAAGCCTGCTGTTTACCCTCAGGGAACAAGTGGTTTTCACAATTGAGCTCCTCCAAGGTCCTGGGCCAGTGCCTGCGGACGCTGGTCATCTTTGTGATCTCATGGTATTATTTTCCCACATGCATTATGACATGAAGAAGTTCAACCCCACCCTGTATGAAAAGCACAGCCCAGTGCCCTAATTTAGGCTAGTGTCAAGCCTTTGAGGGGCCTGGGGGTCCTAGGAGGCCCATGCAATTTAACTGAAGCTCAGGTGTGCATTGGATTTTGCTTCTATTAGGCCACAGCCCTTCAGAATGAGTTTAGGGCAGGGCCTATGGACCAGCTCCGGTTCAGGGAGCTGAGTCTCCACCATTCTCAAGTGTTTCCTGGTCCCTCCTGGTGGTGTTGCCGAGGTCAGTCTTGTAGGTGTTTGGATGTGCTCCTTTCTGCTGTCTTGTGAGTCTTAGCCCGTGCTCCGGATGCCCAAGAGTGGGGCCTCTGGAGGGTGCAGCCCTCCCCGACCCCGGCACCTTCCAAACAAGTGAAGTGAGAAGAGTCTGCCCTTAGCCACCGGGCAGAGCAGCACGTGCTCTTGGGCCTGGATTTCACTGTTAGTGAGTGTAGGAAAATACTGTGTCTTTAATGGATGAAAATTCAATGTATGCTGTGAATTTGTTGGTTTGAAACATTGAAAATTTTTCATTAGACAATGTTTACATACCTCACCTGAAGAACCTTTGAGAGTGTATATATGAAATTTAAAAATATATTAAGTTGCTTTAAAACAGTATGTATAGCTATAAAAGTTGGAGTTATTTTAACTTTGAGTATGTACTAAGTCTTTTAAATATTGAAATCTTGTAGACTTTTTGTGCTTCTGTGTTTTGCTTTTCCTGTTGGACCACATAGATAACTGTGTTCTTGTTGTTGGTAAAGGGGCTCACACTGAAATCCAAGCTTGGAAGGATTTCGTGTGGTGGTTAAGATTTTCTGGTTTGGTTTTGAGGTGATGGGGTGTGGAGCTAGAGGACGATGTGTGGGAGGGATTACTCTAATGTTGACTTCTATTCTGTGAGCTTTTTCAAGGCGCTTATTTTATTGCAGCATATTAAACTTCTTTGATATTAAAGTGTGTTTGTGTAGTCACTGGAGAGAGAACGGAATACAACACAGCCTCCTGCCCCAACGACACATGGCAGGGACTGTGTGAGCCCCGGAACTGGGCGTAGAGAAGCCCTGAGCACACTACCCTAAACCTTCAGTCATGCTGTCAGTTATGCCTGACTTCAGGAGACAGGCGGTAGAGCGGCAGCACTGTGGGGTTCCAGGTGACAGGACAGGAAAGGTGCCAGTGGTCCTGAGGGGAGGGGAGACGCCAGCCGGTGCTGTCCAGTCCTGGGACCACCCTCCCCCTGCCCCGAATATGGCAGAAAAGAAACAGCATTTGTCAGGGCTTCTACTGTGATCCGCCTTGGTGGATCCTAGGTAGTGGCTGTCTAGCAGCCCCTGGTTTTGATTTAAAACAGAAGTTGTAAATTTTCAACCTACAGATGTGTTTATTTAGCCCAGGATTAAAAAAAAAAGTTTAAAAACTAAGTGTTTCATTTCAAATATTGGAGTTTCTAGTTTTGTCTTGTGGGGTTTGTTTTGTTTTGAGGGTGTTTGTTTTGTTTTAACCTAACAAATTTAGCTCATGATGAGAACCAGCTGGTACAAATAGACTGGAAAATGCTCTTCAGGTGCCACAGTCTCTAGCAGCACGAGTTTCCGTTTGCCCATTGGCACCCCACTTTAATCAGAACTGGCCATAGGAATGATAGGCCAAGGAGCACTTGCTTTACCTCCTTCCCAGACACTGCAGCCTTTAACCTACTTGGTTTCACCTTTCCCTTCTCTACCCTGCTCTATAATGTTCTCTTCCAAATCCCTAACTATTATGAAGGCACCAAAGTTATCATCCCTGTGCCCTTTCAAAATGGTTGCGTGCTCTTAGAGTGGGGATTGTAACATCACTGCATTCTTAGCGTGAGAGATCAGTTAGTTCATGGCCCTGCATCAATAGAGGGCTTGGCAGGTCCTTTTAGCTTTGGGGACCTATCTGGGGGACTCAACCTCCCAGACACTCAGATTCGTATTCATCTCCTGAGTGAAGGTTTTCTGATCTGATGTATGTTTCCTCCTGCTTCACTGGCCTTCTAGGATGTCTGCGAATACGTGCTGCTTTCTAATGTGTTGCCTGGATGCTCCACGCCCCTCGGAATCTGGTTAAATGTATGAGTGACTCTGTAGACAAATGCTTAAAACATTAGTGTCACTGTGAACACTTGGCGGCAGATGAGGGTAAGCAGGCTCTCCAGACTGTCACTCACCCCTTCCTCCAGGATGAACAGACCTTGCCATGTCAGTATTAGCAAACAGCCCGCCTGTGATGACTGGCCAGTATGGTAGCCCAGGGCCTTGCTGCCAGGCCTTGCTGCCCTGGGAAGGTGAATGCTAGTAGCTGCAGACTCATTTTGGTGAAGAAAGAGACCAGGCAGGCAGAAAATGAGTGAATCAATGTCATGTTCACATGGAAGACAACAGACAATACTGACATATTCTAAAACAATACTTCCGGGGAAAGGGCGGGTACAGCCCCCTCAGGGACTGTTTTAAGCCAGTTTCTAAGAGTTGACCCAAAACAAGACTACAGAAACCCCAAACAAAAGGTCACAACCACATAGCATCTGAAAATCAAAAGACACTGGAGGTTGACTTTAACATATAAAAATACTATAACAAAATGAAATACAAATATATATTAGAATCTGTAAGTATTCTGTATAAAGAAATACTTTCATGGTTAGGCTAACAGCAGGCAAAGAGGAAACAAAGCTGGTCTTTGCCATTTCTTAACATCATCACAGGGCCCTGAGCAGGGCTGCCCAAATACCAGCTCCTGGAGGACTCCCCCTGCTGGGCCTCTTCTGTGCACGTCTAATGGAAATAGCCAGTGACCACAAAGCAAACTGAAGGTCTTTACCAAAGGGAACACAATGTGGAGATGATTTCTCAAAGTTGCCTTCTTACCCAACCTTAAAAGCCCAGTTGTGAACGGGATGGGGATGATAGACCAGGCCCTTGGCTTCCAAGGAAGTGACTGAGTCAAAGGTAAAGTTGAGCCTGGGGTTCATGGCTCTCTTGCCCTTGGTGCCCTCACTTTGCAGTGAGTCTTGATCCTCAGATTCAATAGAAGACTGGGGGAGTGCAGGGGTGTGGAAGGGCCTTTAATGTTCACAAGGATCTTGGAACCATTGCATCAGCCTCTCACTTCTCACCCCAGGGCCTTGGGGAGAGGCAGCATCACCTGGCTGCAGGCGCTTCACCTGCAGCAGTCTGAGCAAACCTGCTGGTCCATGCCTCTCAAGCCCAGGAATCGGCTTTTCCAGTGAGGGTGGCTGGAGATGGTAGCTTCCACAGGGCTGAGGAGGCCAGAACACCTCTATTTCTAGAAAGGAGCATGATGCCAAATGCCTAAGTTCTTCCCTATGCAACCTGGTGTAGCTGCTTGCCAGGATCCCACAGTGGCCTGGAAGCTTGGAGTAAGAGAAAGACACTGGGCAGAGTTGGGTAAATCCCCTAGAAGCCTGGGCCGCGGCCCTCTTGGGGTGTAGCAGTTCTGTGCACCATGGCCTTGCTCAGGGCTTAAGAAAATGGAGCCTGCCCCCCCCCACCTCCCCAGCAAAGGGTGTACCCAGTCATGAGGACATTGACCAGTTGGTCAGGGCAGGGCTCTCTTTCCATCCCAGAGTCTCACTAGTCTGAGAGCCATTACGATAGGAGGTACTAAGTTCTAAAGTCACAGGAGGCTTGTGTCCTCACCAGCACTGACGGCTCCGCGTAGTGTCCGTATGGGTGGGGGCTCAGGTATAAGGCCTTTCCATGCTCTGTACCTACGCTGCCAGATGGAAGCAGCCAAGAGAGGGACATGCTCACACCTCTGGCCCAAAAAGAAACACGCCCCCACACAGGCCAGGGCTACACCCACTCAGGGAGAAGTGAGAACATACAACCCTTTCTCCCTTCAGCAGCTCCCTGTGAGGCTCAGACCTCTTCTTTCTACACTCCACTCTACACGGAAGAGAAGAAGCCTGTGTGTCGTTCTGCTGTGTATCCGGTGGCTTCCAACAGCCTTCCCTGCAAACTCCTAGAGTGAGGAGCTGCAGCCTGGGCTGATCTGGGCACTCGGTGGTGCTTAGGAATTAGTTCACATCAAGGCTGCACACCCACAGAAACCACTCCAGATTGGGTACATAAATACCTGCTAATGAAGTTAATGGAAATGAATCTTCTAACTCCTCAGGCCTCTCTCCTGAGACCAGAGAGGCAGTGTCTACATGGTTCCTAGCTACCTCCCTGCTGCTGCAGACCTAAGGCCTAGAATGGACAGAAGTCTGCCCAGAGCCACAGGGCAGAGACTCTTTAGTGTCCGGTCATCTGACCTCCTCCTGTTCCATATGGTCTCAGTACAAGGCTCCAAGCCAGGCCTCCAGTTGAGGAGTTCCTGGCCTCACCCAGCTGCTCCTCACAACCCATTCCTCCTCTGCCAGAGGCACCAGCAGCTTTTGGCTAGGGAAACCGGGGCCCAATGCCCCTTTTGTAGCCAGTAATGTCTATTCAGCTGGAGCCAAGAACCCCATGCCCTCTTTGGTAGGGTCTGCCACCCCAAGCATAAGAACCCCCTCACAGAAGCTTCCATGGTCATCCTGTATTTCAGGATTCAGAGGCCTGGTCCTACACAAACCCCACCCCACCCCAACCTCTTCCCAAGCTGTGGAGGCAATGGGCTAGTGACTCAAGGAAAAAGGGTCAGTTCCTTCCCCATGGCAGGAGGTCTTCTCCTGGAGTGTGGCCTGCTGCTGGTAGATGTGGCAGCAGACTCCAGGCCAGTACCCCGGCAGGTGGTTGTCCTCCAAAGGGCCAGAGGCTACTGGGACATTAACTCTTTCAGGCCAGCCAGGGTCACAGGCCAAGGGAGAAGCAGTAGAGACAGGGTTAAGCCTCCTTTTTCTGTCCCAGGTAGCAGGCAGAGGAGTGCCACCGTCCTGCCACCGTTCATGGCCTGACCTCACACACACATTCATTCAACAAATATTTATTAAGCGCCTATCTGTGCAAGGCACTTTGGGAGAGGGCGCGGCAGTCCAGGCCTTGCTTGCTCCTCTACCCCGGCCGGCAGTGCAGTCCGCTGGAAAGGCAGCTCAGTGTCCCCACGCCCTCCAGGACCATCCTGCTGATGCCCGCACCTCAGCACAGCTGCTAGTGCACCACCTGCGCATTATGCACACTGGGCACAGCCGCACTTCGTGGGCTTCTCCACCTCTTCAGCAAATGAAGTCCCGTCGCTGCACTGGAACGCGAGCTTCCTCCGCTTCAGCCGTAGGCCCTGGCAGCAGCCTTGGCCCGGGCACGCGCCCCGGCACTCCACCCACGACAGCGGGCGCGTGGTCTGGCAGATGGCATAGCCCCTCTGGACCCGGTGAAAGTCCCGGACAGGGTCCCCCTGGCACTCGGACTCTGGATGGGACAAATACCAAGAGAGAGCCTCAGAGCACACCGTGGGAAGCAGGAGGGGGACTGGGCAGCATCCTAGGAGGGCTCCGCTGGGAGGGCTCTCTCACCCCTCGGTCCCGAGCATCCTCCCCCATCTCTGCATGCACCTCTGCTGGGCTTCCTCCTGGGCCCACAGTGTGATTGGGGAAGGAGGAAGCAGCTAGCTGCCCAGGCCCTCCAGGCCAGAGTTGCTGCCAGTTGAAGTGGTTCCCACTGTACAGGTGTGCAAGAAAAGCTGAGGCCTGGAGGCAACGGCGTTATGCAAGCATTCCTCGATGGAGAGAAGGACCTTCTGACCCTACGGTGCCCAAGGCTGAATTTCTCCAGCTTCCCTCTTCCCAGCCTCTGCATTCTGGGGTCTAGCCAACATATCTTGGTGAAGGGGCCCAGAGAAAGTCTGGGAAGAAATTCCCTAACCTTCAGACATGCCACACCTGGGTCCAAAGCTGATAGACCAAGATGCTCGAGCCTGGCTAGGAGTTGTTAGTGGGTATGCCTGGATGGTCTCTTCCGTGGAGACTCCTCAGCCAAGAAGGGCAGGGCCCAGGAGATGGAAAAGGTGGAGCTCTGTGCCCAGAGGGCAGGGGGCACAAAAGCCCAGTAGTCCCCCAAGTACCAGAGGTGGGGGAAAGAAGAAGGAAGAGGATGGCAGGGCGTGCTGGGGTTTGAGGATGATAACATGAAGCTCCTACAGCAGAATGGTGGGGAGGGACTCTGCAGAGGGCAGTCAGGAGGGGGCCCCCTGACCTTGCTCACACAGCTCGCCTGAAAAGCCTGGGTTGCACACACAGTGTGCCCCTTTGGTGGCTGAGGCCTGGCAGTGGCCATGCAGGCACTGCAAGCCCCCACAGGGCTCTGCCACAGCCCCGACCTGGTTGCACAGAGCCCCTGAGTACCCATCCTGGCACTGGCAGCTGTAGGCAAGAGCATCAAGGGGCACGCATTTCCCATGGACACATCTGGAAGAGACAGAGAAGAGAACTGTGAGAACAGGCTAGCCCACGCACCAGCCAGAGGGTGTCTCACCCTCCTAGCCTTGCACCTGGTTCTGTTCCAAGATTTAAAGGGGGAGGGGAGCAAAATGTGATTCTATGCTTGTCCTTTTCCAGTGAAGAGCTTAAAGCCAAATAATAATAATAATTAATAATATCTTATGTCAGGCCAGATGCTCCAATTTAAAGATTTAAAACCACAGCTCACGAGGCAATGCTTGCCATAAGCAAACGGGCTTGCAGAACAAGGACCAGTGAGTGAGGGTGACGGTTCTCTTGGTCCATCCCAGGCTTACTTGTGGCCATGGCAGGGGCCATCCACTGGCTGGTCACAGTGCAGGCCCCCCCAGCCAGCCTCACAGTGGCACACGGGCCCTGGGGTGGCATTGGGCTGGCAGATGCCGTGTAGACAGTAGAGCTTTCGGCAGGGCTCACAGCCCGGTACCACACCCGGCTTCATCTGTGTCTTCGTGAAGTCCTGCAGTTCATTGTTGATGTACAGATTCCGGATGCAGCCGTGGAAGCTGGTGCCATTGAGGATCTGCCACAGGCGGAAGGCAGCTGAGTTCACATCCACGGGCATCCCTGGAGTGACAGGAAGAAACAGTAGGCTGCGTTGGGACTAAGCCATGCCTGTTGGACGGCTCTGCAGTGTCTCCTTTTGCCCTTGGGCTCTGTCCTATCTCTGCAGAGGCCCTTGGCCACCCTGGAGGATGGGACTTTCCAGGACCATGTGGAAAGTCTACTTCCTCTGGGACCAGAGCTGGGAGTCAGGCCAGGCATGGTCAGTTGAGCAGCTAGACTCTGGGATGCCTGTTCCCTAAATCTGGCTATCTCCCCCTGAGACTCCTTCCTTCCCTCCAGGACATCTGCTTTCATTCCTGGAGACCCTAATTGAAGCAAAGAACTCGTATGCAAGGCACTTTGACACCTGCTTTTGGACTAGTGGCTTTGCAGCAACCCCAAGGCAGAAGCTGTCAGTCCCTTTCTCAGCCTCAAGAAGTAGGAATAGAGCTGAGCTCACTTAGGGGGCCTGGCACTCCCCAGGCTGAGACAACAGGAGAATGGCTCCTGGCCTGCAGCATTTGCGGGTCCACTGGGGAGTCTCCAGCTGATGCAGACTCTGTCTGAGTCTCTTGCAGTGTTTCTGGCCTTTGAGGGTCCAAGACTAGAAATGGATCCCAGACATGGGAAATGTCTTCTGGTCCAGAGCCTCGAAGGGTGCCCATGGTCTAGAAGACAACTGGGAAAGACCCATCCCTCCCCAGGCCTGTTGGCCATCCCCTTCTTGGTTAGTCTGGAATGGTCAGAATGTAGCTAGCTGCCAGGCAGGGCAGCACAATCCACCAGGTCAACCATTCAGTAGGACCACCTCATCCTTTGGCATCTCCCTGGGCATAGCACAAACTCTCCTGGCCAGTCTCAGATCAGAAAACACAGGAAGTCCCTGCCTGGGGACAACCATCACCACGGCTAGGTGAGAGGCTTGAAGAGGGATAGACGTAGCTCTGTCTGGAAGGTCCTCACCTCCCACATAGAGGGGGGCCTCGCTGTTGAGCGTGTAGTGCTTGCCAAAGTTGTCCATGGTCATGGGGCTGCCGCCATCGATGGAGAGGTTCACCATCTGGTCAAAGGTGACCAGCTCAACGGTGTGGAACTGCCCGTCGTTGATGGTCTCGGCACTGGAAGGAGATGGGAGGGTACCCCCACCCAGGGAGTGGGCCTCAGGAAGACCCGCGCTAGGCACACCCCAGAAAGGCCACCAACTCAGCCACTGCTCCCCAAGGAGACAAACCTCTCAAGCAAACTAAGCGAACTTTGGCCTGATGCCTCCTACTCCCCTTTCCTGAGGCCCGGGGAGAGAGCGTCTTCCCCAGTTAGGGGCTACCTCTGAGGTGAGGTGGGATGGGGAAGGATGGGTGCCAAGGAGCCTCAGCTCCAAGTGGACTGGACTCAGGAGACCAAATGGCCTTTCCTCTCGGCCAGCCGAGTTTCTGTTTTTGGCCTGGGAGCCCCACATCCTGGCATGCCCACCCAAGGAAGGCTGACAGTCTGAGGTATTCCTACCTGTAGATAGCAGAGCTGGGGTAGCTGCCTGGGTCATAGCTAACACGGACATGGCCCTGGTACAGCTCGACTGCGATGTGGTCATTATCCCCATTGTACAGGAGGATCCCATTGTCCTCTGCTGTGGATACCTGAGAGGCAAAGGTACTTTCTCTCCCATGCTACCCCTCGCAGAAGCAGCGCAGGTAGGTAAGTGAACAGAGGGGACTCTAGGTTGGAAGGGTGATGCCATATGGAAATCATTCTCTCCCCCCTCCTCCTCTGCTGACCTAGGCCAGCTGTTCCAGGTTCACTTGCCAATCACTGCAGACCGGCCAGCACTGGACAGCAAAAGGCTGGTTGGGGCTTGGAAAGCATTTGCCCAAGAACAGGTAAAAGACCAGTTGCCCACTGGGAGATATGCAGTACACAGCCACCACGGTGTCGTGTGGGAGCCCCTGTGAGCCTGAGGAACAGGTTACGGGGGCGAGGGGGGACCAGAGAGGAGACACGTATGGAAGGGTCTCCCTGCTAGAGCTCGCTAATGCTGGAAGGAGATGCTTGGGAAACAGGGTCTGTGGTTGGAGATGCAGGTATTTGGGAGGGAGGTCCCCATGGCTGTAGGAAGCATGATTGCCTCCTTCTGTCTAGCTCCCTGTCCCCGCATTCTTCTGGTAAATATCCTGATTCACTGGTCTATAGAGTGGGCACCTGGACCAAGGCTAGATAAATCACACTAGCTCATTTCCTTGGACCCATTGATTGGTCAAGGACTAGGTATGCAAGAAAAGTCTGGCCAATCAGAGAGCTTCCCCTGAGGCCCTTGGTTGTTGAATTAGAGTGCAGGCAAAGAGTCCCTTAATGTGTGACAGTGAGACCCCCTGAAGATGTTAGGATAGTCCGAGCAATGGCCAGGGCCAGGCAGGGGCCAGAGCTGGGGCTGGAACCAGGGTAGGTTTTGCAGTGTGAGAGGAGAGAACTGAGCCTGGCTGAGGGGCTGAGGCAGAGAAAGAGCAAAGAAAAGGAGAGGTGATTGGGTGCTTATAGCCAAGGATGGGATCTGAGGCAGAAGGGTCAAGAGTTTACATTGTCTACTGGGCCAAATGCAGTAAAATCTGCTCCCCTCTCTTCCTCTGGGACATACTCAGCAAAACAGCCCGGGTTCTCATCATATGTCAAAGTAGAACCTGATTTTTCCCCCTCAACAGGATGATGTTCTGAGATGATATTGAAGGCACAGAAAGGACATTTAGGGGACCCCAAAACTGTTGGTTAGAGACAAGCCCAGAACTCACCCTGGCCACATGGAGCAAGCCTGTCTGCTGCACTGGAGGCCAGAGCTGAGCAGAAGGTGTGATAAAGCCTATGAACAGGGCCTCTGGCAGGTTTAGTTTTCTGGATACTGTCCCTGCACAGTTGTCCCAGAAGTGACTCAGAACCTTTGCGAGGTACTCAGACTCATCCTAACCCAAGGATAACAGCAGTTCACACAGGTTCCTTTCAGTGCCCCTGGACAGGGGTGTACCCCGACATTCTGATGAGCAGGGGTGCTCATCTGACTCCCTACAAGTGACCAGGTCCCCAGGCACACACCTGGAGAGTGATGTTGGCCCGAGGCCAGTTCTGTAGGTCGGTGAACTGCAGGTAGGTGTCACGGTCCACAAAGTTGACACTGAGCAATTTCTCACATTCAGGGCCGCCGAAGCCTGGCAGGCACTGGCATACAGGCCGGCTGCCCTGGTCTACACAGTTGGCTCCGTTCTGGCACTCAGTCCCCTCACAGGGGCTCCTGGGGGCAGGTGGAATCTCACAGAGCTGTCCACTGAGAGGAAAAGACACAGGTCAGAGAGGGCAGGGCCAAAGGAAGGGGGGGGAATCTCTCCCACTGTGCTGGTCAGAAACTCACTAGCCACCCCAGGAAAATGGACCCTTAAAGGGACAGAAGATATCCTTTGTGGATGTTGCTTTCCAAGGGAGCTGAGTTCCAGGGGACACCCTGGAGCAGCACCTGCCACATCACCCAGCACTACCCAGAAAAGAAAACCCCACCCGAGCCACTTTCTAGAAAGATCTCAGGTGATCGGCATGCACATTGAAGCCGAAGAATCACTCCCTCCCCATGCCAATAACTCTGTAAGGCAGATTTTATAATCCAGAAGAGAAAACTGTGACTTAAAATACAAGTGGTGGTGAGGAGAAACCAGAAATAAAAGAGGGCACGTTACTACCAACAGACTTACAGAAATAAAAACAATTAACTAGGGGTGTGGTGGGAGATAGAGCTAGAAAAAAAATATAGGCTGATGTCTCTAAGGAACACAGGCAAAAAGTCCTCAACAAAATAGCCACAAATCAAATGGAGCATAGACACTGTTATATACCATGGCCATTCAAGTTTTACCCCAGCAGCACAAGGTTGGTTTAGCATCTGAAATCAATCAATGCAGAACATCATAGTAACTAACATATTAAAAATCAAACAAGGGGCTGGAGAGATGGCTCAGAGGTTAAGAACACTGGCTGTTCTTCCAGAGGTTCTGAGTTCAATTCCCAGCAACCACATGGTGGCTCACAACCATCTGTAATGAGATCTGGCTCCCTCTTCTGGCCTGCAGGGATGCAGGCAGACAGAACATTATATACATAATAAATAAATTAAAAAAAAAAAAAAATCAAACAAACTTCAACAACCCGTCAACAAATTAGAAGTAAAAGGGAAGTCCATCAGTTTAATGAAGAACAGCCAGGCTGGGCGGTGGTGGCACACGCCGTTAATCCCAGCACTCGGGAGGTAGAGCCAGGCAGATCTCTGTGAGTTTGAGGCCAACCTGGTCTACAGAGCTAGTCCAGGACAGGCCCCAAAGCTACAGAGAAACCCTATCTCAAAAAACAAAAAACAACAACAACAACAACAAAAAAAACCAGCCAGAAAACACACACAGCCAATATCACACTTGATGGGCAGAGGTTGAATGTTGCCCTGTATAAATAGAAAGAAGCCAAGAATGTCTGCTCTCACAAGCTTCATATAGCAGTACAGTGCAGGGTCTGTCCAGAGACCCTGTTAGGACAGAAAGGAAGAAAATACACATCTTCATTGAGAAAGAAGAACAAAAATTATCTATGTGTAGATGATATTATCCTGTAGAAGAAAGTCCTAAGGAATCTGCTAAAACACTCTTAGAAATAATTAAAGAATCCTGATTTACAAAATCAATGCACACACAACAAATGACATTAAGAAATCAGTTCTGCCGGGTGGCAGTAGCACATGCCTTTAATCCCAGCACTTGGGAGACAGAGTCAGGCAGATCTCTGTGAGTTCAAGGCCAGCCTGGTCTACAGAGCAAGATCTAGGACAGGCACCAAAACTACACAGAGAAACCCTGTTTTGAAAAACCAAAAAAGAAATCAATTCCAAGGGGCTGGAGAGATGGCTCAGTGGTTAAGAGCACTTGTTGCTCTTGCTGAGGACCCGAGTTCAATTCCCAGCTCCTACATGGTGGCTCACAACCACTTATACCTAAGTTCCATCAGATCTGATGTCCACTTCTGACTTCTTTGGCCATTGATGCATTTGGTGCACACGTATACATGCAGGCAAACACTTGTACACATAAATAAAATAAATCCATTCTATTTACAGTATCATTTAGAAGAATTAAAATTAGGAAATAATTTCAAAATTAAGTATGAGGAGCTAGAGAGTTAGCTCAGTGGTTAAGAGCACTGGCTACTCTTCCAGAGGACCCAGGTTGGCTTCTCAGCACCCACCAGGCACACACTTGGGGCATAAACACACCTGCAGACAAAACACTCACACACATAAAATAATAATTTAAAAAATGCTTAAAAATGAGTGCGAGGCATGCACTTTAAAAATGACAAAAACAATTGTTAAAAGAAGCTAAAGTGAGTCTCCGTATGCGGAAAGGCAATTCATGCTCAAGGATGGGGAAATCCAATTCTGTTTTGTTAAAATGCCACTGCTCCCTACCCTGCTTTACAGAGTCAAGGACTCACTGACCAAAATCCCAAATCACTTCTTTTTTGCACAATTTGACTAGCTAACCTGGAAATTCAACGAGCCCAGAATCACCAAAACAACCTTGAAAAACAGCAAAACAGAAGGACTCACACTTTCCATTTTAAAAACTCGCCATGAAACTACAGTAATAAAGATAGCGCTGCTGGCTGAAGGAAAGCCCACGGAAGCACCCGTAGACTTACGGGCCATAGAGTTTTCACCAGAAAGCCAAGAAAATTAAATGAGATGAAGGGGGAAAAAGTCTTTCCCACAAATAGTGCTGGGACAGCTGGACATCCACATCCAGAAGCATGATGCTAAACTCCTTCTTCATGGTTCCCATGTTTCAACAAACAGGCTTGGAACCCTGTGCCCAAGTTCTAAGTGGTTGTTTGACTCTCCCAAGTTTGCCGTAGTTGGGACTGGTGGAGCCACGTCTGAAAGTCCAGCACTCAGCTCTCAGAATGGGACTGTCATTCACCCGAGCCCTAGAGGGGCCCTTGGCAGGCCCACCTGGGTGTGGCCAGAGCGGCTCACCTGTAGCCCTTGGCACAGCGGCAGGCGTAGCTGTTGACTTCATCCACACACTGGGCCCCGTTCTGACAGCGGTGACCTTCGCAGTCATCCTGATTTTCGCTGCAGTTGGTACCTGTATAACCTGGCACACACTCACACCTGTGGTGGACGGGGAGAGGGCCAGCGACATTCAACCTAGAGCTCAGTGGCCAGGGCTGTGCAACCTGTGTGTTTTACAGAGAACCTCTACAGGGTCTCTTCTACTAAGAACGGAGCTGTATGGATGTGGGGGAACCTGGGCTGGGGGAGTGAATGCCTGGCAGCAAGAGGAGGTGACAACAACCTTGTCTTAGATGCCCACTGTCACCACCAGCTACACATCCAAGGTACACAGCCTTGGGCCCATTCTTGACCTGCCTTGCTCTGTGAACCCACCCCCCGGTTCCTCTGTGCTCAGCTTCTACAACCCTGCTGGGCCCAGATTCCCACCCTTCAGCACGACTTGAGCCCACCTTCAATGAGGACCTTGAACTAGACAAGTCCCTAACTTCCAGGCTCAAGTGTGTCCCTAAACCCACTCAGGCTGAGCCTCTAACTATAAAGCACACATTCCCCCTCTTGCAGCCCCCCAGAACATCTCTGCTACTCTCTACACTCCAAGCCCACCCCATCAGGCATATCCCTGCCTTCACCCCTGTTAGTTCTAGAACATCTTTGCTCTCTCCCTAAGTGGCCCAGCCAGGCCAATTCCTCCCTTTTCCCTGGAAGCTTCCAGGAAACACTCTAGCTCTCACCAAGCAACCCGTCTGAACCCCTATCAACTCCAAACCCCACATCAGCAGACTGCATTCTTGCCTGGAGTTGTTTCTCATTTCAAGCCCAGTAGTTTCTCAGGCTAGAAGTATCTTCCAGCCCAACAACATACATAGGCACATGTACAGAACCAGTCTCGTATTGCAACGTTTATCCCAACCCCATAAAATGGCACTCAGCTTTCTGATACTTTCTGTTTTCTCTTTGAAGGTTAACTGTGACCTACGCAATTGATCCCACCCACAAATGGGTCTTGAGTTACAACCTGAAAGAACGCTATACTTAGTCAAGCCACCACACACTTGCTCACTCTCTTACTCAAGATCCTCATACCAAAGGCTTGCTGGGTCCAGCACAATGCCAGGTATAGCTGGGCATCCCTCCCTCCCATCCCACCACCAGGAGAGAAAGTTGAGACTACATGCATCACACAGCCTGGTGGGCGGTAGCTGGGCCCAGGGCTGAACACGGAGCCCATCTACAGAGGGTGAGGGATGGCACAGCAGTTCCTTCCATCCCAGCCCGTGCAATCCTGCTTCACCTTGCCCTCTAAGCTACCTCCCCTGAGAGAAGGGACTCTTCCACTCAGTGGGCCACTACTCCCTGGCTGGTGTGGCCGTCCCCAATCCCATTCTTGTGACTTCTAAAGAAGGGCAATGCCTCTCTCATTTTCACAGAGGTCTTGCTACAGTCTAGTGCCCATGCTTAGCTGGTCCCCCAACAGTCCCTGACACTCCTAGCTACAGCAGGCTCCTCCAGGTTTCTACCCCTGGCCTTAGTCCCAATTTCTGGGCTTGGGTCAGTCCGCGTAGACCACAGGAAGTCCTAGCCCGACAGCTCTTTGTTGACTTCATAGATGGGACGAGGGGCATTCTAAGAATGAAACTGTGTTTTTCAGGGAGTGACATTTTCAAAATCCCATATGATCTTCATCTAGCAGTCTCCCTGTGACAAATCTCTTCTACATAATCCAGTTAATACAGTGACTCCTTGCTCTGGGGCTGGACAGATTTTGGAATTCAGAACTTTGTGGCCACGCTTAGGCTATAGACTGTATATAAATCAGCATATATGGAAGTTACCAGGGGAATTGGAGGCAGCCCAGTAAACAGATAAGTCTACACTCCAGCAGAACCTACCCACATCCACCCTTCACAGAGAAGTGGCAGCTGTGAGCAGCCTTCCATAAGGCCTTTCTTTCAGGTAAGGTTTTGTTCTGGAAGGGCTCTTTAATTTTGTGAGCTTTGTGGATTTCGTGATTGGGGTAAGAGGTCATGGACCTGGCATGAATGGCTGTGGGTGGAGCATGGCTGTCTGGCTCGATGCTAAATACCTTCCAAAGAGGTTCCTTCTCACTCACCATCCCCAGCACCTCAAGAGGACTCAGTCCTCAATGAGAACAATAGACTCAGTCCAGCCAGCATCTACTCAGGGCCAGGCCTCAGCAAGTCACAAGCCCTGGACTGTATGACCAGAGCTGTGCCCATAACCACCCCTATGATGGCTCTCAGGAACCCAGAATGCCAAGAGCACACCTACAAACAAATGAGGAATAGGAAAGAAGGGAGGAAGCCATGACCAGGCTGGGGTCCCTGCCAGTGGGTGGCACTGACCTGGGCCCATCCGGGGTGCCCACACACTGGGCCTCATGCTGACATGGGTTCAGATCCGGGGAGCAGAAGTCCACCAGCTGCTCACAGGCCCTTCCTAGGGGAAGAAGGAGCAAGAGGCAGCAGATGCCAAGCTCTATGGAGCCCACGCAGACACTGGCACCCCCAAAGGATGGGCAAATGCTCTGGCCCCTGCAATGCTTACCTGTATACTGCAGGGGGCACTGGCAGGTGTAATTGCCCACACCATCCACACAGACACCCCCGTTGACACAGGCATGCTTCACACAGTCATCTGTGTTCACTCCACAGGTTGGCCCTTCAAAGCCGGCGGGACAGGAACACCTGTGGTAGGGCGGGAGACGAAGAGGAACAGTTAAAACCTGTGGCCACTGGTCAGCACCCTCATTCCATACATTTGGGGTTTCTACTCTAGACCAACGTAGAAACTACTCTAGGCCAGACGGTGAACAGATTAGAAGGTAACAATCCCTGCCCTCAAGGAATCCTCTGCTTGCAGTCTAATGGGGAAGACAAATCAGAGACAGGGACTCAAGAAGTCCAACCAGGATGGTAGAGGCTCCGAAGGCAGGCGTGGGCAGAGAATGCCTAACCCTTCCTCAGCAGGGCGTGGTCAGGCAGGCTTCCTGGTAGAGGGGAGGGGCTAGCCTCAGCAAGAATCCCAACACAGGATGAGAGGCAGTGGACACAGAGGGACTGGTGGAGCCCGAAGTGAGAAGGCAGGACCTGCCCACCTACACTGCTCAAGTCTTTGAGGACACACACGTCAGGAACAGAGTAATAACGGAGCTAGGCTGAATAGTAGCTGGGTTGTGGGGTTTCCCAAGGGGTATAAGGGCCAGAGAGTGTGGACTGAGGAATTCACACCCAGCTCTTCAACTGTCCATAGCACTTCTCAAACATTCCCAGGTCTCAGCTGAAGTGCCACTCTCTGCCCAAGCAGGAGGTGGGCTGTGCCTTCAGGTGCCAAGGGAAACAGCAAGTAAACCATTAAAAATTACTGACAGGAGACTCATGGAACTGTCGCCTAACAGAGCTGAAATACTGTTGCCTCCTGCTCACTCAGGAGATTTTGCCATATAAACAGGAAAGGTATGTAGCTGTGTGGCAGGTCTATGATGAATCTCCTAACCCTGACAGTGGATCTGTGTGAACAGACCTTCCCAGCAAGTACATAATATATATACAAACAAAACAGCAGGGTAGCTGCTCTATCCCATCATGCATGGACCATCTGCGGACACACAGACCAACTGACACAGAATATAGCCATGCACCTATAAAGGAGCTCCGTCTCAGAACACATTACCTTATAGATAATAATATCAAATTTCATAGCAGGTGCATTGTTTTGTATGTTATTAGTCACCATTAACTCAGATACAGAAACTATTTTTTTTGTAATTTTATTATTTTTATTTTATTTAGTAAGGGTGTTCTGTCTACGTGTATGTATGTGCACCACTTACATGTGTAGTGCCCTTAGAGGTCAGACAAGGGCACAGTATCCATTGAAGCTGGAATTACAGGTGGTTGTGAGCCACCATGCAAGAGCTGGGACTCAAACCTGGGTCCTCTAGAAGAGCAGCCAGTGCTCTTACCTGCTGAGCCATCTATGTATGCCCCAAAGAAACTTTAATAAATGTTTTGGAGATAGGGTCTCATTATGTAGCTTAAGATGGCTTCAAATTCATAATCCTCCTGCTTCAATCTCCTGTATCCTAGATTACCCATGTGTACCACCAAACCCAGCCAAGAGAAACTTCTAATCAGAAGCTTATGGTGACAAGAAGTGGGCAGGGGCTTTAAACTTTAGCTCTTGTGCCCCCACTGGTGGCAGTTGCTCCTAGCATACAATCATATCAGAATAGAGACCAGGAGGGTGGTGAACACAGAAATACTAGCTCCAGCCAGAAATGGAGAGATGTTTTCATTGCTGTGGAGGAGCTTGCTGGTGGCATTTTTAAAAGGTACTCTAAGTTAAGTGTGGTGTCCAAAGTTGTGATCTAAGCACTCAGGAGGCCAAAGCGGAAGGATAGCTGAGAGTTCCAGGACAGCCTTCGCTCCCCAAATCACCCTGTCTCAAAAAAACATTAATGAATAAATAATAAGTTAAAAAAATGGTACCCAATTACTACATCCAACAGATACCACTAGGGGATGGGGATAGCATACTTAACCTAGTTGTTTTATTTTAAAATGGCAATAATATTTGTGATGTCCATGGCACTGCCTCCTTTACACGGAAAAAAATAGACTTACAGTGAAAAAAAATGTAGCTGTCGGTCTAAGAAAATTTGTGTGGGTGGTGTTTGACATTTTGTCTGGAGGGTGAGGAAAAAGATCTGGAGGTTGTGCCATAGGCATCTTCTGGAGTCTGGTTTTAAGCTAGGGCGACAGGATATTTGTGCAGAAAATCCCTTCTGGCAAAATCTAAGGGCATAAGGCAGGTGGAAAGGAGGTCTCCCCTCTGACCTGGTGCTGTAGGCTGCCTGACTGTTGGATGTAGGGCCACCCACAATCCCAGAAGGAGCATCCCAGCCCTGTGCAGGAGCTGAGGAGCAGACCAGCGAGGAAGCTTAGCTGGAGCTGTTGCCTGCCCCTGAGGTGGGCCTGCCTACTGTAAGGACGTGTTTCCAAGGCAACCCTGGAGAAGAGGCACTTAGCACTTTATTTTTTACATCTGGTAATTTGGGTCTGCAGAGGCAGGTTTGGCCATTTCCGCCCGTAGATTCAACATCATTTTCTGAAGAGCCAATTTGTTCAGTAGGCAATTTATCTCCAGCGACTAAGTACTGTATTCCCCAGAAAAGCTCTGGGAGGGCAGGAAGGCGGGGGTGCTGGGGCTTGCTGGAGAAAGCAGGCTAGTCGGGGTGTGAGGATATGACATCCACTCTGGAAGGATTCGGGTATGCTAAGTGGCAAGGGCAGCTGTATCCAGAGCAGGTGAAATGCCGTTGGGATCCCTCCCTACAGAGGCCAGCCAGTGAGAGCCGTGCAAAGGGAGGTCCCCAGAAGGAGTGACCAGGCTGTGGCTCCCCCTTTACCACTTCAGCTGTACCACAGGGCTAACCGCAGCCTCTAGAGACTTGTTCAACTTCAAATGGGTGCTCAGGGGGTCCATGGAGATTTAAAAGAGTCTTGAGGGGCTGGAGAGGTGGCTCAGCAGTTAAAAGTACTGGCTGCTCTTCGAGGGGACCCGGTTTCAATTCCCGGCACCCACATGGCAGCTCACAGCTGTCTGACTCCAGCTCCAGGGGACCCAGCACCCTCACAGAGATATACATGCAGGCAAAACACCAATGCACATAAAATAAAAATAAATACATTATATTTTAAAAAGTTTAAAAAAAAAAGAGTCTTCGATGCCCCCAACCATTCCCTGGCACTGCCATGGTGTGTATTCTTGGCTATAGGTTCCCAGTGTATGGAAAAACACTCCTGGCCACTTCCTAGAGCAGTGTAAGCTGCACTGGGGGCCAGCCCAAGCCCAGGCTCTCCCCTGCGAGCCTGTGCTGTCTGGTGCCTGCTGGCCCATGGGTGCTCTGCTCACACCTCCCCCAGGTGAGAAGGGACTGAGAGAGACTGTGGCTACAATTTGGAGCACAGATCTGTTCCCTCTAGCCACCCTCATCTCCAGCACAGGGAGACTTGGGTGCTGGGCCCATCGGCACTCCCCAACCCCAGCTCAGGCTCCACGGGCACTCACGTGAAGCCAGCATCCTCGCCCTCATGAGTATGGCAGGTTCCCCCATTTCCACATGGGTTGCTGGAACAGCTGTCCAGGGACACTTCACAGTCTCGGCCCTGGAGAAAGAGTCAGAAATGAGGACTTCAGGGAAAGCCAAGAGGTTGGTGTGGACTAAGAAACAGCTCTGCCTTGTCTGCCACAGGGTTGCCTATCATTCTTCCATTCACTCATTCATCAATATATCCGTCCATCCACAGGTTAAGCCACTGGTGACAGGGTCCCTCACAGGGCTGTTCTGAACCAGATCAGCAAACAATATAGTGGTCTTGCAGGGCCTTTTGCAAGAACTCTGTTCTCTCAGCTTCAGCCTCCACTCACCTTGTAGCCACTGGGACAGGTACACCTGTATACTTCAAGAGGGTCATTGTGGCAGGTGCCCTGATTCTGGCATGGGCTGGACAAGCAGGGCTCACACTTGGCCTGGACTGCCAGACTGGGGGGACCTGTGGTAACAGGGAGTGCATTAGCAGAGCATGTGGAAGCATGGGGCTCTGCCCTGAGAGGTGCAGTCGTGTGGAGGCATACCCTCCTCCCAGGAGACATGCCTCACCATAAGTTTGAGGGTCATGCTTCATCCCCCAGCTCAGTCCGGCTTTCCAGCTGCAGAACCCACTTTACTACAGGTTCCCTGGAAGTCCCTGATTCACAGGTAGCTGTGAGAACTATATGAATCGATGTGCAGTGCTCAGTAGATAGAAACTGTACATAGTGATTAGGGCCACCCCGAGAGTAAGAGAGCAGCAAAATTGTGATTGCCAACTTTGCCTAACTCTGCCCCTCATGCCCTCAGAGGCAATCACCCCAGCCTACAGCCTGCTCAGCAGAGAGGGAGCTAGCTATGTGCCTGGGCTTGGCTCTGCAGGGAGGCTACATGGGGGAAGTCCACATGCCTCGAGGATCTTCCTCTCCAAGTCTAAAGCAGGGAGAACCTTCCCGCTACCTCCTAGGCTACACAGGCCCCTCTCCAGACCTCACTCACTGGGAGAATAGAGGAGCCTGGCAGCAAAGGTACCTGGGTACCAACCCTGAGGGACACCAAGATTTCACAAGAGAGAATAGGGAAACCTGGCCACTCGACTCAGGCTCCCCCAGGAGGCTCCTTCTGGAAAAGGTGAGATATTAGTTCTGATGAAGAGGCATGCACTTGAACATAAATTAAGAAAACAAAAAACAACTTTCCATGGGACAGAGGCTACTGGAGGGACTTACAAACACAGACACGTTGTTTGTTGACCCAGAATTGGTGCCTGAGTGAACTCAGTTAGTGGGCATGCATCAAGTTCATTTCTCATGTCTGTGTACCTTCCTGGATGTTGTTATATTTCAGTTCAAAAGAATACATTGAAAAACAAACAAACCAACAAACCTTAGCACCACTCTGCCAGCTAGTAAATGCCAAGCATGTATTAGCATAGATGAGCTTCTAGAAGCCGCTAGAGAGTGGGCCCTTGGAACTATTACTGCTGTGGCAGCTTCCTGCACACAGGGTGGCCTGGGCCTCCTCATTAACCTACAGCTGTCACTTTCATTTCCTATGGTGGCCTCTGAGCTTGCAGAGGGCAAGGGCCATGCCCCAGCGTCCCTAGGGTCCTCCTCTAGCTCCCCCTGCACACAAAGCTGAGCCCAGGCATACATTCAGCCACCTGTCTTTACTCTGCAAGGCTCTGCAGGGTCTTAGGGGCTTGGTCGGTCGGCTAGTCAGTCAATCACTCCCTGAGCAAGTGTTTGTAGATGCTAGAGGTAAGGAGCCTCAGCACAGACTGCCAGTCACACCGTGCCTCTGTGTTCTGCAAATGTCAAGAAGGCACCAGCTGGCCCTCTGGGCCCACAAGGGACGGAGTAGAGGTTCAGCTAATTGTCTAGCACAATGACTATCTAAAGGAAGTCTGAGTGCCTGTATTGCTAGGAGCCTGGGAGCTTTGAAAATGCTATTTTGGTTTATCTTATATAACCACGGGCAAGAATTTAAGCCCTAGTGGACTGGGATTTTTCTGCTTGGCTTTTTCATCTGTTAGATATCAAGACTGGAAGGCAGCCATGCTAACATGCACAATCTCATTTCAATCCTTTGACTCTCCCACTAGTGGGACCCAGAGACCCGGGAGTATCGGGAAGACCCTACCAGGGCTGGGCAAGTCCTATGGTCCCTGGTACCCACCACCCCTTCTCTCATGCTCCTGAGCTCACCTTGGCATTCAAACTTTTTGGCAGGAGTGGTAAGCAGAAGTTTGCCCTCCATGTCTGGGGGTCCAGCACAGCGGGCAATGCCGGGTTCCTTGTAGCCAGTCTTCACCCAGCTGGAGAGCCATCGGAGATGGCAGTCGCAGTACAAGGGGTTGGCACCAATGGCCCTGGGACAGGCAGCAGAGAAAAGCAAGCATTCCAATGTCAGAAGCTTTGACCCACTGATCACATAGAGACGCAGGTCACCCACAGGCCCCGCTTGAAGCCCTCCATATGCATCATCTTGCTTTGTCCTCGCTATGCCCTGTCTCCATTTTCCGCACACAGAGACAGAAAGATGTCCTACATCAAAGGGAGGGGGGAGTCTGGATTTGGAAGCCATGCTGCCAGGAGCAGAGGCTCTGTACTCAGAGCCTCCACAGACATGAGGGAGAAGGCAGCCAGCGTTTACCCTTGCAAAGAAATGGCTGCTGCTCCTGGCATCGTGCATCCAATGCTCTCATTAACCCCACACGCAAGCTCCCTGTATCTTTAAGATGTGGAACTGAGCATTGCATAGAATAAATCATTTCTCTGGGGCAACACTGTGGCTAAGGGCAGCCTCTGGGTCTAAACCCTGAACTGCCTGTCTCAGGAGCTTGGCCATTTTTGTTTTTCTTTTCATTTTTAATTAAGCAAAGACCACATGGATGCATTCTTATTTGCAAGTCTTTCTCAAATGCTGCAGAACACTATGAATGCTAAGTGCCATGGACGGACACACACACACACACACACACACACACACACACACACACACACACACCCTATTTTTTGTTTTGTTTTTGTTTTTTGGAGACTGAGTCTCACTATGTAGCTTTGGCTGGCCTGGAACTCACTATGTAGACCAGGTTGGCCTTGGACTAATAAAAATCTGCCTATCTCTGCCTCCTGAGTGCAGAGATTAAAGACATGCCACCAAGCCCAGCAACTTAAGTTTTTAAAAATAATTTAGTGATTATTATTTTATGTGCATTGGTGTTTTGCCTGAAGGTATATGAGGGTGCCAGATCCCCTAGAAAGGAGTTACAGACAGTTGTGAACTGCCATGTGGGTGCTGGGCATTGAACCCAGGTCCTCTGGAAGAGCAGCCAGTGCTCTTAACCTCTAAGCCATCTCTCCAGCCCAAACTTAAGTTTTTTTAAGAGCATATTCCAGTGTTACTGATGGGAGTGCAAAATGGCATAACTCCAATTCCAGATACAATTACTTTGTGGAAGTTTCTCCTCCAGACATGCCTGCAGATGCACATAAAGACACCTGTGTGGCAGATGGCTGCTGTGGTCTGAATGCCCCTTCCAAGTATGTTTTGAGACTTTCCTCAGTCCAGTATTGGAAGCTGGTCCTTTAAACAGGTAACGGTCAGGAGAGCACTGTGCCCATTCCCCCAGCACTGCGCCAGCTGTCATAGGAGTGGATGCTGGGTACAAAGGCTCTGCCTGGCCCCACTGCCACCCTGTCGTGTGAATGCTCAGTCATGCTTCTAGTATGCCATCACTGTGTTCCTGGACGTCCAGGCTACAGAAGCAGGATCAGAAGAGATCAGAATAAACTCTATCATTTGTCCAATCTGGAGCTGCAGGAAATGAACCAGGACCCGGAAATTGCCACTGTTCATTGGCAAGTAACTGGTTAAATAAATTATGCTGTGTTCACAGTATGCCACGATCCTCCACAGAGGTTCACAGGTGGCACAGTTACCAAGCTCATGTGTGTGTGGCCTTCCAGCCCTTTCCCACATGGATGCATATGGTTCCTATCTACTGTGCATCACATCCAAACAGCTTATTTCTTGTCACTAGGCAGCATGCCTTGGAAACCTTCCAGGTCAGCATATAGGAATCTGCCTCATTTTGCCCAAGTGCTTTGCAGCATCTCTGGGAAGAATAGATACCCTGTGGTTTAATGAACAGTTCCCTGTTGCTGGGCTCTCTGGCAGCTGAGATGGCTGTGAACACTCTTTTACACATGGCTTGGTGAGGTGTGAGCGTGTCTCTGGAACAGATGCCTATGGAACCCAGGTGACAGAAGAAATGGATGGCGAATGATAGAGCTGCCCTTGGCTTCCATGGGCCACCAGTCCAGGGCCATGCCTGGACATCTGCATCCATCTGAGTACTGCCCAGCCCTGTACCAATCCTATGGCAAGCTCAGAATCGTTCCCCATTCACAATGAGAGGCATAAAGACAGGATGTGAATGTAATGGAAAGAAGGTGCCAGAGTTCTTCCTTTCAGTAAACAGAAGATCAGTGCCTGAAGCTCATCTGTATCAACCGATTTTAAAACCCCAAGGTTGTGTGAGGTTAACGAGAAGGGAAGCATTCATCAGGTCACTGGATACCCAGCCACTTCCCACCTGTTCTGGACTGCAGAGGAAGTGCCCCCCCCCCCCAAGATGGGTACAGCCTGATAGAAGCGGCTGTGGCTCTGAACAGGAATCTCCCAGAATAGCACAGCTGACGCTGTGTGATCTTATAAAACAGGCTCAGCAAGACTTGGACTCCAGCCTACCACAGCTGCTCCTGCCTGGGGTGACCTTGGGCTGTTCCCTTAACATCTCTGGGGCTCACTTTATGATTCAATAAAGAGCCTGCGATCAAGAGGGGAAGAGAGACAAGCGCGGATAACCTAGAATGGGCGCCGAGGGACTCAGGCAGCTCAGGAAGGAGGGCAGGTGCAACCTTGATGTGTATTTAATTTTCTGTCCTCGTGTGCTGACAGCATCCATCCTGGCTAATGGGATGAGCAAGACACCATCCTCCTCCCCCATCAGCACCAGAGCCTCTCAGACACGGAGGAGGATTGGAGGCAGACTCCAATGTGTGAAAAACGAACTTCTAAAGATTACAGGGAGATAGACATTATGGTATATTTAAGATACTTATTTTTAAATATATTTTATATAAAACATACTTATTTTTAAAATATTACTTTAAAATACTATTTTTCAAATTATCAAAAAGTCCAATATAGCATAATTATGGCATTTAAAAACTTAGTATAGCCGGGCAGTGGTGGCGCACGCCTTAAATCCCAACACTCGGGAGGCAGAGACAGGCGGATCTTTGTGAGTTCGAGGCCAGCCTGGTCTATAGAGCGAGATCCAGGAAAGGCGCAAAGCTACACAGAGAAACCCTGTCTCGAAAAACAAAAAAAAAAATAAAAATAAAAATAAAAACAGTATAGAATTTTTAATGAACTACAAGGAATATAGGCCAGTCATGAACAGGATGGTTAGAAAAAAAACACTCGAAGGTCCGAGGTCATCCTGAGGGTGGGGCTCTTGATGTGACTGAAGCTTCACAAGCCCCCATGCTGGCACACATGTCCACCAGACATCAGCAACACTGCACCTCAGATGTGAATGTCCTTTCCCAATCCATAACTAAAAACCATGGGCCAAAGTCTCCTAAAACCACTCAAAATCATCCTGGCTTGTTCTGCATGGGTGGCTACTTGTTCCTGTCCTGGGCAGACATCAGCGCCTCACTCAACACTTCAAGCTTCCACTTGTTCAAGGCTGGGTTTCCCCAGCTGAGGACCACTGTCCCTCTCTTTGGCAGTTCTTCAGCTCCCTTTGTCTTGGGGACCATCTTGCCCAATGGAAGCTAACCTTAAGCACAACTTACAAAGTTTTTTTCTTTTTGGATATTTGAGACAGGGTTTCTCCGTGTAGCTCTGGCTGTCCTTGAACTCTCTCTGTAGACCAGGCTAGCCTCAAACTCGGAGATCCACCTGCTTCTTTCTGAACGCTGGGATTAAAGGTGTGCCACCATACCATAGCATAATTTACACATTTTAATCAAAAGCTTTTTTAAAAGATTCAGGAGGCTGAGGTAGGAAGATCATGAATTTCAGGTCAGTTGGGCTATGTAGTGTGATTCTGTCTCAAAGTATTAATTAACTAATTAGTTAAAAATTTTAAAAAGTAAAGACAACTGGGAACCCAGTGGGGAGAGGAGAACAGGTCGGACCAAGGGAGACAGAGTTGGGTAGGGCAGTCAGGCCCTCGCCAATCCCAAAAGACTGTGGGTTGGGAACACACCCCAGTAAGATTATAAATAGCTCCATGTTGTTGGTCTTTGGTGTAACTTGGGCACACTGAAACAGTAGCTGCCTCGTCTGCTCATGCCACGCTGTGCCAGCTTCTATTAATGGAGCCTAGCCTGAAACAGCCTTTCCTGGTCTGAAGCCAGAAGAATTCTCAAGCTGTAAACCCCTCCCCCTGAACCCCAGCCCCTGCCCAGCCCACTCATGGGTTTATATGTGTTCCATCTTCATCCTCTGGTCCCAGGGGCTGCAAAAGTGGTTCCTTGAGGACAGGAGCCACTAACTCCAGAGCTGGACCAGACACTAGCTAACACCAAAGACACTAGCTGGGTCAGTCAGCATTAACTGAGTGGAGCCTGCCAAACACATCAGAAGGGCACAAATCCTCAGCACAAAGGAACGCAGGAAGAAAAGTATTATCCATCTCAAAATAGAATTAACTTCACTCTAGTATATTCCCTTCCAGTCTGTCGGTTTTCCTTCTTCCTTCCACTGAGACAAGGACCCACTGGGTAGTCCAGGCTGACCTATGACTTGCCATCTTCCCCCATGCTAGGAGTACAGGTGTACACTACTGTGCATAGCACCACCAATCCTTATGTTCATATTTGTATCACATTAATTATTCTGCATGCCATCAAATAATAAATTACAGTGCCCTAATTGTCATTAACTACTTACTTTTTGGTCATATGGGCATGGCATGATGTAATTAATCATTTCTACTGAATTTTCACACCTACTTCTCAGTGAACGCTGAAATATGGCTTTCTAGCCCATAGCAGAATAAAGGCAGTAAAATGTAGGGTTCTAACAATGAAGGACAACATGGAGGAACTGTATCCATGAGCCTGAAGAGGGTCATGCCACCTTTTGGTACTGGGCTTCATGTTAGACACCTGAGCTGGTATGTATCCACTGACGGATAAAGAGGAGATGTTATAGTTTGGGTCTTGAACATCCTCTTAAAACTCATGTGTTAAAACTCTTAGACTCCAGCCTTTGGCATTGCTTACGGTTAGTAGGACCTTTGGGCAGTGGGATCTGATGGAAGGCATTGGGTCATTGAGGATGTGCCTTGCAAGGGACTATCAGGACCCCAGCCTCTCCTCTTTCTTCTCAACTGTTGTGAGGTCCACAGTTTGCTCAGCCACACATTCCCATCATGATGTGCAACCTTACCACAGGCCCAAAAACAATATAGTTCACCAGCTATGGACCGAAACCTCCAAACTTTCAAAGTAAAACAAACGTTTCTTCTTTTGAAGTTGATCATCTGAGTGTTTCGGAAAGTTTTGGAATATTTGTTTAACTACGCAAAGATGTGCTACATTTGTTTATGTTTTAGGATATTTGTTTGACTATGTAAAGATGTGTTGCATTTGTTTAATTATGTAAAGATATGTTGCTGTTTTACCTTGCCTGCCTAAGGCACCTGATTGGTCTAATAAAAAGCTGAACGAGGTGTTGGGGATTTAGCTCAGTGGTAGAGCACTTGCCTAGCAAGCACAAGGCCCTGGGTTCAAAAAAAAAAGCCAAACAGCCAATAGTGGGGGAGAAGGTATAGATGGGATGGGACTTCTGGGCAGGGAGAGTAAATAGGAGGAGGAATTTAGGCTAGGGTGGGGGAAAAAGAAAAAGAGATGGCAGGGAGATGCCAGGGGCTAGCCAGCCACACATGGAGGAAGCAGGAAAGTAGGACATACAGAATGAAAGAAAGGTAAAAAGGCCCGAGGCAAAACGTAGATGATAGAAACAGGTTAAATTAAGTTAAAAGAGCTAGTGGGACAAGCCTAAGCTAAGGTCAAGCATTCATAGTTAATAATAAGTCTTCATGTCTTTATTTGGGAGCTGGTTGGTGGCCCAAAGAAAATTCCAACTACATCTGCGGTATTTTGCTATGATAGCAAAAAACTGACTAACATTAGCAGATGAGTGGCTAGTGGATGATCTTAACTGATTGATTTCTTTTTTTTTTTTTTTTTTTTTTTTGGTTTTTTCGAGACAGGGTTTCTCCGTGTAGCTTTGCGCCTCTCCTGGAACTCACTTGGTAGCCCAGGCTGGCCTCGAACTCACAGAGATCCGCCTGGCTCTGCCTCCCGAGTGCTGGGATTAAAGGCGTGCGCCACCACCGCCCGGCTTGATTTCTTATGTAATACATCTGGCCTCAGGTTTGATATCATGTTTTCCTGAAGACAGCTATAGGATCAAACTTGGTTTTTACAGCTTTGGGTTTGTTTATTTAGAACATGTGCTGTCTGAACCCGGAAGAGAAAGTGGAAAGAAAAAGAAATAGCCTTGAACTCGTTGGCACAGGAAAAGACTTTCTGAACAGAATACCGTTAGCACAGACACTAAGACCAACAATTAACAAATGAGACCTAATGAAAGTGAAAAGGTTCTATAAGGCAAAGGTCACTGTCATTCAGACAAAGCAGCAGCCTACAGAATGGGAAAAGATTTTTACCAACTACACATCCAATAGAAGGCTAATATCCAAAAAGTATAAACAGTAAAGGAAACTCAAATGGCTGAGAAACACTTTTAAAATGCTAAATATCCTTAGTCATCAGGTAAATACAAATCAAAACTACTTTGAGACTTCGTCTTACACCTGTCAGAATGGCTAAGATCAATGACACAAGTGACAGCTCATGCTGGCAAGGATGTGGAGTAAGGGAAACACTCCTCCATTGGTGGTGGGAGTGCAAATTTGTACAGCCATTATGGAAATCAGTATGGCAGTTCCTCAAGAAGATGGGAACCTGTCTACCTCAAGATCCAGCTATACCACTCTTGGGCATACACCTAACAGTTGCTTCATCCAGTCACAGGGTCACTTGCTCAACCGTATTCACTGCTGCTCTACTCAAAATAACCAGAAACTGGAAACAACCTAGATGTCCCTCAATGGATTAATGGATAAAGAAAATATGGTACATTCACACAATGACATTCTACTCAGCTGTTTGAAAGCAAGAAATCATGAAATTTGTAGGTAAATGGATGGAACTATAAAAAACCATCCCGAGTGAGGTAAGCCAGACCCAGAAAGACGAACATGGTATGTATTCTCTTATAAGGGGATATTAGCTGTTAAGCCAATGATAACCAAGCTACGATCCATAGACCCACACACAGAGGTTAGGTATAGAGTAAGGGACTGGGGGTGGGCACAGATAGCTCTCCCTAGGAAACAGAAATAGAGTAGATAGTTATGGATGGGGAGATGGACTGGAATGGGAGACTCAAGCTGTGGTGAGGAGGAAAGAAGGGGACAATGGAGGGAATATGGGGAGAGACAGCTAAAATTAAGGGCTGTTTGAGGACTCATAAGGAAACCTAATATAGTAGAAGCTTCCTAAAATATATCCATATGTGAATGTGTTACCTACCTATTTTAAGATCATTCTGACTTTGCAGATTAAAATATAGGAAAGATAATTCTCAAAACTGGGGACATCTAAGATGGCTGACTCAACTTCAAGAGAAACATTGCCGATAACCAAGGCTCTCTGATCTAAGTATTCCTTGCCCCCGAAGGCCCTGGGTGTGGAGGGGATTCTGAGAAAAGGAGCCAAAGCATTCCAGCTACAGTCCACATGGCCACAGCCTACATGCATGCCATAGCCAAGGGTACCGAGAAATGCCAGGAAAGTGTCTTTTCTGCACCGGCCCAACCTCCGGGTGAGGACAACCCTGCCTCAGCCCTGGGCTTACCTATCTCTTCATTGCCTTATAAACAATACATAAAACAAACACTTGGTCATTAGTACCATACAGTGCACAAATCAGCAGCACTGACTGTATTCCCAGCCCTGGGCAACTATCTCCACTACCAATTCCAAAGCATTTGCATCACCCCAAACAGAAACTCTGTACTCTGAGATATTAATCCCCATTTGTTTGTCTATCTATCTCTCTGTCTGTCTGTCTATTATTTGTGTGTACGTGCATGTGTGTGCATATGGAGGCCAGAGGACACCCTTAGGTGTTGTTTCTCAAGTACCACACACTTTTTCTTTGAGGCAGGGTCTCTCACTGAATAGTCCAGGCTGGCCAGCTGGCCAATGAACCCCAGGGATCGGCCTGTCTTTGCGTCCCAGCTCTAAGATTGGTACATGCTACCATGCCTAGCTTTCTATGTGGGTCCTGGGGGTCAAACTGAGGTCCTCGTGCTTGTATGGCAAGCACTACTGACCAAGTCATCTTCCCCAGCCCTAGCCTACTGCTTTTAAAGAATCATCATGGCACTGCCAGCTGTAGGGCTTGGGAAGCAATTCTATGCCATTCTATCCCTTTGGGAAATAGATTTCAGGGTCTCATCCCCATGGTATGAAGCAAGGACTGTATTATGGGGATAGTCTAAGAGCATGGGCGGGCACTGGGGCAGGAGCCACCACCTCACCAGCTGTGGCTTTGGGCAAGCATCTTCCTTTCTCTAGCCATAGTTCCTTTTGTATAAAATGAGGAAATACTACACACATTGTGGAATCATTATGAGGGGGCCACACTGGCAGGTGACAGGTCCAGCAATCCATAAATGTTTGCTACCACCTGCTAGTGGCCTATTCTCCCTCACCATCCTTGTGGACCACTGAGTGTATAAGAGGTCAAAAAGGTGACTGGGGAAAGTTCACAGTCAGTATCATGATAAAGGCAGCATGTTCTGATGGTCTGAGGGGCTGGATCTCCCTCAGACTCCAAATTCAGCTTAAATTCAAAGAGGCCCAGAGAATTGGGCTGGCATTACTTACAAGTGAGACAGAGACGTCACGTCTGCAAAGATGCCCTCTTGGAGGGTGGAGACATCATTGCCATGCAAAGACCTGAGGAAAGAAGAGGTTACTGGAGCCTAGTCCAGGGACAGGGTGGGATGCCTAACGAAAGGGCTTCCTAGCCTTTGCCGAATGGACACACCATGGGTGTCTGCTGGTGGGGAGACAGTCCCCAGCCCAGCAACCCTGATCTGTTAGCCCCAGGAAGGAAAAGGGGAGCCTTTAGAGTCCAGGTAGGCCACACTGCTCCCCCATACTGTGGGAAGACTCTAATTTTGCCATCTAAATAACTCAAGTTGAGTTTATGTCATAAATAAAACATGTAGACACACAGGCCTCCCTCTTAGCCAGGAGATGGAGGCAGAGTAGGCAATTTGTAAGGAGACTAACATAGCCAGCCATAACTTAGGACTGGAGGAATGTCACCTTGGTTCTGATGGGGTCAGGAGCCACCATAACAGACACAACAGAATGTTTTGGTCAAAATCACTTTGAGAACTTGTAGAAAAAGTTCTCTGATCTCTGGAAACAAACACTTGCAATCTGAACAGAAGTCTCTTGTGCAAAGGACTCCTCTATCTTAGGCACCCCTTCCCCATCATACACGTATACACAGACTCAGCTTGGAGTGATGATCACCTCTTCTCTTGGATCATTTCCCACTTATAGCATGGCTTCTATAGAGGGTATGGATAAGAGTAGTCTGGGCTCCCATCTAAATTAGGTAGAGCATTGTCCCTGCTGGGGCCCCAGACCTGGGAATATTCCTGCTCACCACAGATAGGGGGTAGGCCTCAGGTAACAGGGTAGATTTCCTAGAACAAGTTGGGAGAGACTTACAGCAGGCGCAGGGAACGGAGCCCCTGGAAGGCTAGAGGAGGGATGCACTGAAGGGCATTGTAGCTGAGGATCCTGCAGGAAAGAAGGAGGAAGCTATGGCAGAGATGAAGGACCATTCCCACCCCATCCTATGGGTGAGAAGGCTGAAGCTTTGAGGCCACTTCCCACCCTAGGGTCATGTCATTAAGTTAGTTAACAGTATTTGTGTTCAGATTGTGTTTTTAGCGCCCACAGCTAACCCACTAACTCAAAAGATTCCAAATAAATGAACCCACCAGGAGCAGACAGGCAGATTGGCAAGGGAACTGGTTCTGTGGTAGACATGTGTACTGGACAGGGTGCCATTGGTAGTGCCAGGGAAGGAACACCAACATGTGGAAGGATGTCAGAGTAATTGTGCTGAGAGGTAGAAACCAAACAAAACTGGACCACGAATCTATTTCAATAAAACTCTGAACATAAAGCCTAACCTGGGGCCTCGTTCTGGCTAGCCTCGAGCTTGTGGTAAACTTCCTGCCTCAGTACGGAAACATGTCATCAATCCTGGCTATCAAGTTCTATACTTTAATATGGGATATTGCGGAATATTAATTGTACATAAGTAGAATTATTTAAAAAAATCCAAGTGAAGTGAACCGTCCACAGCAAAGGAAAGAACACCAAATTCCTCTTGGCTGCTGAGATCGCAAAGCCCGAAGTTTGTCAAACTCAGCGCTGTTGGCAGTCCCAGGCTAGGGGGCTGTCCTAGGTGCTGAGGGAAGGTTGTGGCCTCCCTAGCCTCTGCCCACACCATGCTAGCAGAATTCTTCCTCCAAGGTGTCACAACTACACATCCTCAGCCATTGCCAAATGCCCCTGGTGCTCAGGGTCTAAGGCTTGAAATATCACTCTAGGTGGAGATGACCTTCACAGCCAGGCTCACATTAGCCCAGTCACAGATTGTCATGAAGATGGGAAATGGGGATGAGCAGATCCATAGACACCAGAGGGAACCCAGACAGGTCCTTGCTGGCCTTTGCTCGGTCCTTGCTGGCCTTTGCTCGGTCCTTGCTGGCCTTTGCTCGGTCCTTGCTGGCCTTTGCTCGTTCTCTGCTCTTAAAGTCTGGCTAAGTCAAGCCCTTTCGTGGGTACTGGCCCTCAGGTTTAATCTAAGTCACATGTGGGGAAGGCCTCAGTTCCTAGCATTTCATGTATAACTCAAGGGGAGTGGAAAAGAATGAGGTGTACTCTTAGCCACCAGGCATATATAGGATGCTGGTTAATGCCTGTGACCAGCGGCTTGCAATATTATAATAGCCAGCATGGGGTGTCTTAGGACACAGGCACAACATTTCAGAGGGTCCATTCTCACAACAGTCCAAGCTCAACACAACCCTCCCATCCACCAAGAGTAAAGTGGCTAAGGAGAGTGCAGTATAGGCTTCTAGGGAACAAGACATAGCCGTGAACATGGCTAGATCCCCACACAGGAACTGATCACAGGGGCATAGTAATGCTAAGCACAAAAGTCTGATTCAGCCCATGTGGGATTAAAAATGATTCAATCCATGTGGGGTTTAAACTGAGAAAAATTAAAGAATGTTCTGTTGAAATTCATGTGCAGATGAAAATACTACAGAGAAAAAGCAAAGAATCAACCACTATCAGTGAGAACAAGAGCTACTTTGGGATGGAAGAAAAGGACCAGGAAGGAACTAGGGGCCTTGGGATGCTAACATTGTTTTCTTTTTGCTTGACTGTCTACGTGTGAGGGTTAGTTTGTTTGCTTTTGTTTTTGTTTTGTTTTGTTTTTCCAGAGCTGAGGACCGAACCCAGGGCCTTGTGCTTGCTAGGCAAGCGCTCTACCACTGAGCTAAATCCCCAACCCCGCTGCTTAGTTTTTTGTTTGTTTTTGTCAACTTGACACAAGTTGGGGTTATCTGGGAAGAAGAACCTCAATGGAGAACATGCCTCCATCAGATTGGCATGTAAGCAATATGGAGCATTTTCTTGATCAATGATTAGTGTGGAAGAACCCAGGCAACTGTGAGTAGCGCCACTCCTGGGCGAGTAGTCCTGGGAGATACAAGGGGTAGTTGAACGTGAGCCTGAGGATCAAGCCAGTGGGCAGCCTTTCTCCACGACCTCTGCCTCAGTTCCAGTGTCCAGGTTCCTACTTTGAACTCCTGCTCTGACTTCCCTCGGTGATGGAATGTGACCTGAAGTGTAAGATGAAATCAACCCTCTCCTCCCCAAGTCGCCTTTGGTCATGGTATCACAGCAATGGAAAGCAAACCAGGACACTGCATGTGCTAGCTTTGTGATAATGTGGTAAGTAAGACATTTAATTTTTTGTGTGCTTTCCCATATGTGTGTTGTATTTCACAGTAAAGCTGTTTTGTTCTTTCCTTTGATCATGGCCAAAAAAGCCGAGAAGCGATGGATGGGGTATTATTTAGTCTGTAGACTCTCAGGCCCCTCTGTGGTGGGCAAGGCTGTCTGCATGGGATCCCAGTGAATGACAAGAGCGATACCAGCATAGTCTGATGACGGCATATCCCGTGTGCCCACCCAGCCCCGCTGGCACTCACAGTGTGGTCAGCTGGCTCATGTTGGTGAAGGATGAATTGCTTAAGGAGCTGATCTTGTTGTTGCTCAGGTCCCTGGAAAAGGCAAGAGCATCAGCATTTAGAAGGAAAGAAGGCCTTTGCCCCTGGATGACTTTCAGAGCCTCTCCCCTCCCCCATCCACCCTTGGCCCCTCGGCAGCAGGGAGGGCAAGGATCCCTATCTCGTGAGGATGTGGGGGCACAACGGACTTGCCATTGACTACTGAGCTCCCTCTGTCCCTCATCTGCCTGTCCCCTGCAGGTGCAGCAGCTGGCACTGACCAACTTCTACCTGCAGCCCAGCAGCCCCTTCTCTGGGAAGCATAGCTGGAATACCAGGCCTGTGAGGTAGGGTGAAACCCCATTTTACACACGAAGAGCTGGAGTCTTCAGTCTCTCCGTAATTAACTCACACGGGGCCACCCAGCTGGCCAGAGGAGGACCAGGCCCAACCCATCACTGCAATTTCTCCTACAGTCCCTAGTTAGGTGCAGAACATCCTTACACACCCCTACCCCTACCCTGACTGTGTCTGTGGCCCCATCTTCTAATCCCTGGTAGACACCAGCCTCAGGATGGGAAGATCCCAGCCTTGCACTCGTTCAATCTACTCTAGTTGCCGTCCAGGTTGTCTCTGGCTCCCCTAGTGACACTATCTAGAGCTGATGGTACCATCCCTACAGCCACAGCCTGTTCTTTCCCAGAGCTCTGTTCCACCTGGTGCCCAACACACCCTCAGTGGGGCTCGGCCTGGTGCTTCCTCAGCCCTGCAGCCTGGGACTGCGATTGCTTCCACATTCCACCCTTGGTATCGTGGCCTGGCCTCCGATCACTGTCCACATCTATTCCCCTTCCTAAGTTCCTCCTGTGTTAAGCCAGCGTCCACCAGTGGTTTCCTGAGACCCTCCTCTCACCAGCTTCCGCCCCAGGTTCATCACACCCTCCTTCCAACCAAACCCTCGTCGGCAGCTGCCCGTGTTGGACCCTACCGCTCCCTGAAACTTAGGGAGCCCTTAACCTCTCCCTACATCCTCCCTAGACCGTCTAAGAGAGATCCATGACCTTGGGGCCTCCTGATCTGCCTGCTCCAGCTACTGTATGCAGCTCTTGGCTCTGAAAATCATTAACAGTGTGCCCTTCCTTCAGCACCCAGGGAGCCTTCCTCTACTGAAGTCCCAACTCTGCTCCCTATTGCTACAGGCCCGCTTCCTTCCTTGTGGAAGGGAGGTGGAGTTTTCCAGTGCAGGAGAGGCAACCTAACAGGAAGAGCTCGCTTGACACCCCTGCTGTCTGCCCTTCCTTCTTCATGAACATCTGGGCCACCGGCAAAGGTCAGGCCACGGAAAGCCTGGGAGCTGGTGGAGTGGCGTCCCTTTCTCTGACCCCAGCCCCTCTTTCACCCCCACTCCACTGAAGTGTTCAAACCACGCTGGTCATTAAGCAAAGACCTACTGACTGGAGCCTCCCAGTGCTGTGAGCCAGTGCTGTTCCCAGTGGCCAGGCCTTGACCTGAATGTCACCAGCCCACGGCTACGCTGGTCCCACAGCCACGCTTTCTCAGTGAAGGGAGCAGTATGTTGACTTCCACTCTCGCCTCTTGTCTAAGAACAAGCCCACTAGCAACAGTTCGCAGCTGACATTGAGAGCAGATTCACTAAAAGCGTTTCTCAGACTGACATTGACCCACTGACTGCGCTCGTACAGAGCACTGAGGAATGTTCTCTGGACTTCTTTTTTATAGACTCTGGCTAGTACACAGACAAAAACAATTGAGGTGAGGTGCTAATTACGCTGGAAAGCTAAGAGGAGCTGACCTTATCATCCAGGGGTTTATTCTGAGTACTCCCATGGGGCAGAGGGGGTAGAAGGCAATGATAACAACGCAGGTTAAGAAAAAATAGTGTGTGGACTCGTAGCTGCCTGGTTTCATATTTGGTTTGAGGACAGCAATTGAACTGAAAGACTCCACATCATCCTCTATTCATCCCTGGCTCCTTGCAGAGACCACCAGAGCAATAATAATTACCAGCCTACAGGGAGGTCTGGAGGGATGGTGTGGACAGAGCTGTGGGTCCAGCCCATGCAGGCCAGAAAGGATGCAATTCCTAGATTTGGCCACCAGATGGCAAAACAGCTCCCAGGCATAGGTGTTCCCTGAAGAATGAATGAGGGAGCAGACAGGGTTCATTAAAGGCATCTGTCCACAAATGGGAGAGTCCTGGAAAGGTGGAGCTTTGGTAGTTAGATGCCAATGGTCCTCTTGACCACTGAGGCAGGCCTGGGATCCTCAAGACACCTGGATACTCACACAAGCTGCAGATACTTGAAGGTAGACAGCTGTCCCGGAACCAATGTGAACTGGTTCCCATCCAAATAGCTGAGGAGAGAACACCACAGCGTGAGCACCTGTCGTATGCATGTACATACACCTAGGAGCTGAGACACCATGAGCTGTGAGACTGGGCAGCACAAGGCTGAATGCCAGTGCAGGGGAGGTGAGGGCCCGGCCACCTTCGCACACAGCTCGGGAGAGGGTGAGACGGACACAGCTTTTCTTGAGAGGCCACTGGGGAAATGCAGCAAGAGTTCCGTGTGCCCAGTGCTCTGGAGTAAAAGCTTCACCAAAGGGATGTACACTTAGGTGCTATTTGTGATGGAAAAAAGAGTAAACATCTCCAACCAAAAAAGGGATCTGTTGTGGAGACCAGAGTTGACTCAAGTAAAGAACTTTGTGTCTGTAGACATTAACAATGTCTTCCCGACAAACGTTGTGAAGCGGGGGAAGCAATGTTATTTCCTAAAAGCAAAGCCCTTGCCACGAATTTGTCATAAGGTAACTGTAGAGAAGGGACTAGAGGAAGGCTGAAGCCATGCTGGAGCTCTTCTGGGCTCACCCTCCTTCCCGCCAGCCAACACCCGCTCTGCGGCATCTCCTCCCACGGCCGGATCCCACTGGTCCTGTCTCACAGGCCAACAGACTGCAGGCCTGGGCTACTCACAGTTCTGTGACGTTCTTGGGGATGCCCTTGGGCAAAGCCTGGAGATGCTTGTTGCTGCACCGGACCACGGTGTCCAGGCAGGCGCACTCCTGGGGGCACTGTGGGCGGGGCAGGCATCCCACCTCCTCCTGGCCTGGGGAGGAAGGTGTGGCATCCTGGTCAGTCAGGGGCCTGACTTCACATTGGGAAAGTCTCTGGGACTGCCCCACCCCCTCAGAGCAGCAGCTCTTTTCTGTCACTGCCTTGGCCAGCAGCTAGACCTCCCTCTTTACAGCGTGCTATTGGCCAATACCAACAGGAAGAAGGGGTTCTGGGAAAGTTTCCAGGTGAAAACAGATCTGAGGTAACCTCCTGCCTCAGACCCAAGGTGGTCCCAGAGAGGAGGCGGACACAGCTACCACTTTCTGAGCGCCTAATAGTCCCTGGCACTGTGTTGAGCATGCCCCCCTGGGAGACACAGCAAAGAGTGCCGCTGTCACCCACTGGGAGGCACTGGTAAGGCCCGGCACTCAGTGCAGCAGCTGGTCCATCTCTGGCATCCCAAGGATGAAGAGGGCGAATCGTTTTCCATTTCACTGAGGTCTGGGCGGGGTGAATGACTTGTCCTCCAGCTGATGAGGCATCTTAGGGCTGGGGCCCAGGCCTGGCTGATGCAGGCCAATGACCCCTTCATTCATCATCCGTTTCTCCAGGAAAGAGCCCTCTGTGTGTCTCCCTTTCTTATGACGGGGTGCAGCAGGATCAATGGTCCTGGTCAGAGTTGTTGAGATGGTGAGGTGACAGCAGGTACCCTCTACCAACAGTGACTCAGTTATAGGAGCTGACCGTGTTCGGACACTGCATTGTAAGTAAAGATGAACTCGCTGAATCCTCAAAACGCCCTCAAGGAGATGTGCTACAGTGGACCATTTTAGAGACGATGGAACTAAATCCAGGGTGGTTAAGTAACTGTGCAAAGTCCCCTAGCCTTGAAGGCAGTACTGGGACAGGGCTCTAGGCAGACAGCCTCTGGAAGCTGTTCTGGCCCCTGGGCCTCACTGTCTCATAGCAGCAAATGTTCACAGAGATGCTCACACCTTTTCCCTCCTAGGAAGTTGTCCTAAAGGGAACATCCCATTTGTACGGAAGGTGTTATCTATGTGGGTGTTCCTGGAAGCATAATGCAAAATTGTCACTGAGGAAGTTTGCTAAATGACAAGTCTCAGGGGCTGGCTTGGTGGTGCCCTTTAGAACAGGATGGTTTGTGGTGAAAGGATTTTGCAGGGGACCTGAAAAATCCTGAGTGTGTCCTCACATGCAAATAGGCACACAGTAGGGATCTGGAAAACTGCAGTGCAGAATGTCGACGGAGGCTGCCCCATGGTGGGGATCTGGGATGGGAAAGAGGTACAGGGGTGATTTTTCTATCTCCGGATTGTTCTTTCTTGTTTTTAAGGAATAATGGTGTCTTATCTTTATAAGAAAAACAGATTGTGTGTGTGTGTGTGGGGGGGGGGGCATGCATGTGGAGGCCAGGGAATGACCTTGGATATCATTCCTGTATGTTTACAAGAAGGCTAGGCTGGCTAGACAGTGAGCCCCAGAGGTCCTCCCATCCTGCCTCCCTAGCACTGGCCTCCCATGCCACCATGCATGGCTTTTTTTTTTTTTAAACATGGGTTCTGGGGATGAAATTCAGGTCTTAATGTTTGCAAGGCAAGTGATCCACATCCCCAGCCCCATACAAACTGTTTCTTAAGTAAAACAATGTTTTTGCCGGTGGTAGTTGTGCACACCTTTAATCCCAGCACTTGGGAGGTAGAGCTAGGCAGATCTCTGTGAGTTTGAGGCCAGCCTGCTCTACAGAGTGAGATCCAGGACAGCCAGAGCTACACAGAGAAACCCTGTCTCGAAAAACCAAACCCAACCAACCAAACAAAAACTCCACAAAGTTTTCAAGGCAAAGTTTTCAGTGGCAAGAGATTACAATCAAGATGCAGGGTTGGATTAAAAATATTTAACAAACAATCAAAAACATTTAAGCCATAAAATATATGTGTGAATAGTATGATGGAGGTAAATCATACAGTGACTTTCTTCCTTCCTTCCTTCTTTTCTCTCTCTCTCTCTCTCTCTCTCTCTCTCTCTCTCTCTCTCTCTCTTTCTTTCTTTCTTTCTTTTTTGGCAGGGTCTTGCTATGGAGCCCTGGTTGGCCTTGAGCACTCCATTCTCCTGTCTCAGCCTACATGGTCCCATGCCTGGCTTGAGTTTTTTTTTTTTTTTAATTTTAAAAGTAGGAAACAAAATTATTCTTAGAAAAATCTACTGATTTTCTTTAGAAAAACACCTTAGTCTTTCTTGCTGTGAAGGTTGGCTGTTCCCTTGTCTTTCCCTCATCTCCACGTGGCCTGGCTGGGGTGACTCCAGAGCAGAGATCCACTCTGAATGCCAGGAGGGGGGCAAGGACATGGAGACCAGGGAAATGTATCCAGCGTCCAGCAGCAGAGAGAGGGGTTTGAGAGCTGGTAACAGCCTGAGAGAAGCTCCCGTGGAGGGACATACTGAGACACTTAAGAACAGGGACAATGGAGGTGCATATTTGCTGGTTACCTCAGGAAAAAGCTGCTTCCAACAGGAACCTCAGTGTGTGATGCTTGGAAAGAACTGAAGGAAAAGCTACATCCTGCTAGAAGGGCAAGGTGGTTGTGGGCACGAGAGACTAGGAGCTCGGAGGAACAGAACAGTAGAGCACAGAATGACCAAACCTCCAGCAAGTGGGGAATCAGACTCAGCGGTGAAGGACATGGTACCCCGAGGACCCTGGAGCTAGTTTCTGGGTGAAATGCATTTCCATAAGGACAAAAATACTGAGGAGTTACTATACTTCTCTTTGTGTGATGGGATAAGAAGTCATGTTTATTTTCTTCTTCTCTCCATGCATCCCTCCCCACTACACCTCTGTTTTATAGGACTACACAGAGGTAGCTCCACGCAAAAGTGTCCCCTATTCCCTCCGCAGGGGCCAGTAGGGTGCTACCTGGCCAGCCCCATTCTCTCCCTGCTGCATGGCCCACAAGTTACCTTCCTCACACCTGAAGTCGGGGAAGGCCACATCCTGCAGGGGAATCTGCCGCAGAAAGTCCGGGTTCTGGCAGCGTGGGTTCCCTGTCACGATCTTCCTCTTCCGGAGCCAGTCACCCAGCCAGGCTAGCTGGCAGTTGCAGTTGAACGGGTTGGCCAGGAGGTTTCTGGAAGAGGCAGGGAATGTGGTCATGAAGGCACTTTGCCAGTCTCAGTGAACCTGGCGGCGTTCTCTCCCGGCCACACAGCCATCTGATGCTCCAGCACAGACAGCTAATAATCTCCCAGGTGACCAGGAGCAAAGACCAAACTAGCAGCCGAGGGAACAAGAAGGACCCATGCCTCCCCAGAAGACCCCCCACCTGGGATGGCAGGCAGGCTCCCCCGGCCTGAGTCACCAACCTGCCTGTCCTCCAAGGCTGACACTTACAGTGTGGACAGGGCCTGAAGGGTGTCAAAGGCTCCGGGGGAGATGGTGGTGATGTGGTTGTCGTAAAGGGACAGGAGCCGCACGTTGCGAAGCCCCGTGAAGCTGTCGTTGTGGATGCAGCTGATATGGTTGTTCCTCAGCATCCTGGGGGAGGGGGGCGATGAGGAGAGAGGAGGGAGAGCCCCTCAGTGACCCACCACAGTCCACCTCAGCAGTTTGGAAGCCACCGTCCAGCCTAAAAACCATTAGTGGCCTTCAAACTGCAGAGAGGGTGTCCTCTAGCCCCAGGCCATGTCCTCAGACTGACACCCGCGAGGACCCCTGTAGCCGATGGACAGCCACCCCTGGCCCTGCTAGGATGTCATTCTAGAGCACCCGTCTTCCTCATTGCTATCTGGAAATGCCCTGCCCCCATTACTCACCCTCCAAGACCCCTTTAATTCCCACCCCCAACCAAAAATGAAAGTGGAAACCAAGGCCGCACAGGACAGACAGGTGATTCCAAGAGGCATTTAAAGGGACTGTGAACACGCATGAAGCATGTCAGATTGATTAGTCGGTAATCAAGGACACCTAAAAAAAAAAAAAAAAAAAAAAAAAAACCAAGCTTCTGCCCATCAAATTGGAGAAGAAACTGAAATATAATTGTCATAATGCCAGCTTAGGCCAGAGCCGGATGATGGGCACTTCCACACATGGTTGGCAAGACAAGGGAGGGCCTCTCTGGAAGTGTTTGTTGAGTTGTCCCAGACTGTCTACAAAGGTGCTTTCTGCTGCCATCGGCTGGTCCACTTTCAGGACTTCATCACATGAATACTCAGGGATGTGCACAGAATTTGGGATGAAGGTGATAGTTACAGCATTTCTCAAAATACAGAATGTGAAAGAGCCTGAGTCTCTGGCAGTTACAGATAACTATGTCTTAAAGAAATTCTATGGTATATGGAGGGAAAAGCAGGTTACTAAACAAAATTTATTACAGGGTTCTATTAAAATATATCTGGGAGCTGGGTATGATAGCATAAGCCTATAATCACAGAACTTGGGAGACTGAGGCAAGAGGACCACAAATCCCCTGTGTTACATGGGGAGACCTGCTGAGGAAGAAGAGAAAGAGGAGAAGGAAATTTTATATATATATAATTTATATGTAAACATACATATGTGTTTACATATTATACATTGTGATATATAATTTATATATTATACACTGTGATATATATATATATATATATTCATATACAATTTCAGTTATACAGAATAAATAGTGCCTAAAAATTCTTGTGCAGTGCAGTGCCATTAGCAAACAATATCATAGATGTACTTCAAATTTTGCTAAGGAGTTGTATCTTTTTTAAGAAATATGTGTATGTGTGTTTGCCTGCGTGAATTTGTTTGCAAGGTGTGTGTAACTGCTCATGGAGGCCAGAAGAGGGCGCTGGATCCACCAGAACTGGAGTTATAGAAGGTTGTGAGCTATCATATGGATGCTGGGACTCGAACCCTGATCCTTTAAAAGAGCAATAAGTGCTTTTAACCACTAAGCTATCTCTCTTGTCCCATGATCAGATGGTTTTGTTTTGTTTTGTTTTGTTTTTGAGACAGGGTTTCTCTGCTTAGTTCTGGCTGTCCTGGAACTCACTCTGTTGATCAGGCTGGTCTCAAACTCACAGAGATCTGCCTGCCTCTGCCTCCAGAGTGCTGGGATTAAAGGTGTGCACCACCACCACAGATGTTCTTATTATGCTAATAATAATAGTAATAGAGAGGACAGTAATAATTGTTGGAGAAACTGAATATGTGTATGGCATAGACCGTGGTGGTGGTTTTACAGGTCTATCTATAGTGACCTGTGTGTATGCACATACATGTGCATGTGTGTATGTGTGTTTGTAAGTATAAAGGTACATGTAGATAAAGCATGAGAAGGGCAGCTACACACCAGCAATGACACTGGTCACTTGTGGGTGGCACTGAGATTCTAGACGCTTCACAGTCCCTCTGGGTTTTTGCTGCCCCTGTCCCCACACTGACCCTTCCTAGGTCCCTCTTCTCTCTAAGCCTTCCTCAGAAAGAACATAAGTTGACTGACTCGGTCTCCCCCAGGACCCTAGAGGAACTGAGCCGATGTAAGAAGGAGGGACTAGCCAAACAGGGGCAGACTGGAAACGTGGCCACGCTCTGCTCACGGAAAAAAAGACTGAGCTGAGCAAAAGCGCTCGGTCGGACCCCCTTTCACAAAACTCCACAGGCATCTCACATGCCTTACAGGTTACACCACCAGAAGACAGAGCTAACTACGCTGCCTGTCTGGGACTTAAACCCAGGCAGGGGCTCCGAGGGCTGCATTTCCAGAATGGCAGCCGCTGCCCATCTGCAGCTGTTTACACTAAGATGAGCTGAAATGAAGTGTGTCACAGCCACAGGTGGCTCTGAGTAGAACAGCATCCACAGGGAACATCTGTGGAGACCAACAGGAATGTAGCCCTCTCTACTGGACACTGAAGAGCCAGCACTGCCCAGAGGGAGCTTCCTGCAGTGGTCATGGAGAAGTGATAAGATCCTGGTGGGTTCCCGAGGCCTGGACTGCTCTGACTGGCTCCAAGTCACAGAGTCCAGAATTTCTAGGGATGGTGGACATCTCTGCTCTGACATCTACACATACCAAGTCACCTTGGCAGGGTCCCCTCACAGTCAGCCACCCCTCTAGTGGTTGTTCTGGTCACTCCTAAGCATGTGTCATCTGTATCCCAGCAGCCTTGATCACAGGGCACTGATGGGGGGGTCCATTCCCTTCCCCTCCTCACCAGGGGCCAGCCCCCATCCCAAGAACAAGAGGTTGGGCCTCAGGACAGTTACCAACATGAGATCATCTGTCCTACCAGACAGGTTCATCAGGGGTCCTACTCTCCTGCCAGTGAGACCAGGAGGAGGCCATTTCTCTCTAGTGCATAGGCCCATGCTGTGGCTTGTCTTTGTGCCCCTAGTCCCACCCACTCACAGGGTCCGCAAGCCATCTAGACCACGGAACATGCCGCTCCTGATGGACTCCAGCTGGTTGGCGGTCAAGTGCAGCTCACTGACAGAGGACGCACCCTCGAACGTCCCGTCTTCGATTTCTGACACCTTGTTGTTGCTCAGGTTACTGGGAGAGGAAGCAGGGGGAACCGTGAATCCCCTGCACCCAGGAGTCCCTCCCTCCCTTACTGTCCCCATCACCTCCATACATAGGAACCCCACCCCTGCTCCCAGTGGGTCCTCTGCACCCTAGGCCTTTCCTTTCTACCCCATGCCAGCATCTTGATGGGCACCTTCCCACCAATGGGAAACTCACATTTTCTTCAGATGCGAGAGTTTCTTAAACAGCCCAGTGGCCTCTAGGATAGAAATCTCATTGTTGTTCAATCGTCTGTAAAAGGCAAGGAATGGAGCGAACACAGACATGACCTAAACATGCTTTTCACTTTGAGATTATGGGGTGCAGAGAAGGCCAACTGAGCCCATTTTAAAGGAAAGCTGGGCCTGGCACTGGGCAAAAAGGGGTGATGGTCAATAAGGTATTTTTTTAAAACATTAAAAATGTAATGAAGGAGCCGGGCCATGGTGGCGTGCACCTTTAATCCCAGCACTCCGGGGGTGTGGGGCAGAGGCAGGTGGATCTGTGAGTTCAAGGCTAGCCTGGTCTACAGAATGAGTTCCAGGACAGCCAGAGCTGTTATGAAGAGAAACCCTGTCTCAAGAAACCAAAACAAAAAACAAACAAAAAAAAAATGTAATGAATGGACAGCAAGATATTTTAGTAGGTAAAGATGTCTGCCACCAACTCAGACTACTTGAGTTCTATCCTTTTCTACATGATAGGAGAGAATTGTCTCCCAAAAGCTGGTTTCTGCTCACACATGCACTATGGCATGAACACACATATACACAATAATGAACAAATGTAAAAAAAAAAAAATAATGAAAATTTGCATACATAAAAAACAAATGTGTGACACAGAAATGTGTCTGCAGATGCGGACACAGGCACATAAATTCATACTTTTAGAAAGAGGAAAACAGTAGTTAGGGAATGACTTAAACCCCAGCTTGAGATAATGGATTCCTGTCTCCCTAAAGAATCATCCCTAAGGAACGCCACGCATGGTTCAGGCTGGTGACCAGTCCTGGATGTCAAGGACTCATCGAGGAGGCAGGGAAGCAGGAGCAGGGGTCATGGATGAGGGTTGTATCTTGCCAAAACTGTCAGCTGGCATGCTCCAGCCAGTGTCTCCCATGATCCTCCTCCCCTCCCCCCCCCCCCCCCCCCCCCCCTGCCCCACCGCCCAGAGCTGGTTTGGAGAAGAGCCCTAAGCACACCCAGGTGGGTTAGTGGGTGCCGGGGTTGGGGAAGGGTGGGCAGCTCAGGAGCTCACAGCTCAGCCGTGGACTGGGGGATGCGCTCAGGGATCTTGGAGAGCTTCAGGCTGGAGCATTCCACCACACTGGCCTCACAACGGCACTTGTGGGGACAGGCCACATCACTGGTGCACTCGCTGTTCAGGTGGTAATCCTCCGTCCCTATAGTGAGAGGGTGGCAGGGCCGAGGGCCTGAGTAGGTTCCAAGCAAGCATCCAAGGGCCTGCAAAGCCCCCTGCCGCCTCCACAGCTTTCCCTCTACTGCCACCATCCCCATCCCTACCCCCAGCCGGTCCGGGCCCCCCATTCTCCTACCTGGAATGAAGTACTGCTCTTTGGCTGGGGAAAGAAGCAAATGCACCAGGATATAGAAGCAGCCAGGTCAGCCCCATGCCCCTTGGGAGGCACCCCAGGAATGCAGCTGGGACCCGGCGTGGAACTGCCTTTCCCCAGCCCATCTTCAAGTGTGGAAGGCCTTACTCCAGAACACTCATGTCCCCAGGTCAGTGCTGAGCAGCACCACAGCCAGCTAAACCTTTCACTTGCTCAGGCAGGCACTGTGCTGACCTTATGGATAGGGTTGAGGCAGAGGTGGCACTAGACTCAGAAGCTGACCCACACTGCCCACGGCCAGATGCCAAGTGGGCTGCATCTGCTGAGGCCACGTCTCCATCTGAGTCCTGGAGGAGTCTCCTACCTCACTGAGATGCTCCCTGGGCCTTGAACACAGTGACATACAGAAGAGCTGGCCTGGGAGCAGAGGGTGGGTAGGTCTCCCTCCATGGCTTCAGTAAGCCTGCCTCTCCCAGGCTGCAGTAAAGTGAGGGGCAAAGCGGAGGAACCATCCCACCCAAGTTGAATGCAGCCCCCCCCCAACCAGCAGGCTCAAAAGTGCCTGAGGACACCTTTGTTAAGGCCATCAGGACACATTCCTGGTCCCCAAGCCCACTGGAGACACACAGGTGGCCCTTACCTGAGCAGCGGAACTTCTTGCTTTTGATCTGCCCAATGCGCTTGTTGGCGAGGCGCCGGGGGCTGGCACAGCGGGCCCCGCTCGTCTCAATGGGGTTGGTACGTAAGAAGTCTGCCAGCCACTTGAGGTTACAGTCACAGATGAAAGGGTTCTGGGCCAGATGCCTGTCCAAAGGGACAAATGGGTTATCAGAGACCAGGGCTGCTGACCTATGTGTAGAGAAGGCTTTGTAACCAGCTGGCGCTGAACCAGTGCTTGTGGCCTCAAGCAGGCCAGAGCTAGCCATGGGAGAAATGTGGCGCAGGGAATTATCGGTGTGCATCCCTCTGCCAGCCCATCACAGAGGAAGGCGCGTTAGCAGAGAACTGCAGCCTCCTGCAGAACCTGCGTCACTCCCTCCAAGCCTCTCCGTGCCCTCTTTCAAGTCTCTCTTCCCTCCTCTGACTTGGATATCTCATGAGCGTGAGTGAGGAGAGACAGGATGGAGAGACTGACCGACCAACCGGCACCTTCCAGATGAAGAAGATGAGGTGACAAAATGCCAAGCCAGACGTGACCTCTGGGCCTCCCCACAGCCACAGTCTGGGTTCCTTTCTCTCCTGCAGCCTCGGGCAGCCCAATGCCTACAGCCGCCATCCTGCAGAGCAGTGGGGCCAGGGTGGGGAGGCTGGGTCTGTCCGCATGGCAGCTGCACCTGGAACCACCATTCCCAGCTCAAGCAACAGCAGTGCCTTTCTTTGGCAGGTTTCTAGCAGTTTCTCACCCCAGGAACAACCAGCCAACAGCCAGGTAGCTACTGTAGAGACTCATTCTTGTTCCCGGCTGCCTGCCTGCCTGTGTCACCAGCAGGTGAGGACATGAAGGTATGGGGAGCAGCTAACAGAGGTGGTTGCTACCATTCATACCACCCCAGCAAGCCAGCCACCAGTCCTTTTTCTAGAGATTTATGTTTGATTATACATATGTGTATGTCTGGGTATGGGCACATGAGTGCAGGTGCCCGAGGAGGTCAGGGATGGGGGTGAGTTGCCTGGTGTGGGGTGATGGAGACCGAACTCCAGTCCTCTGTGAGAACAGTAGCACTTTTAACCACAGAGTCACCGCTTCAGCCCAGACCCACCACTCCTGAACCACGCCATCACCAGGCCTTCAGACCTATGTCTGGGCACCATCCACTAGGCGTGTCTGCAGAGGCCTGTCAGAATGAAAATAGCCAGGGAAGAGCATCCCCTGCCCCTGTCCCAGCTGTCACCCTTGAGCCGGAACTTGTATACACAGTATGGAACTAGGGGTGGAGGGCCATGGGGTCAGGCCAGGACCACGTCTCCACCTGAGCGTCATCATCCAAGCTATATTGCTTACTAGCCCAGCCCTCTCAAAACCTAAGTGTGACCCTGGCCCAGGGTCTGTGCCCAGCTCAGTCTATACTTTGGACGTCCTTTCTCCCACCCATCCCCTCCCATGTCCAGTCTTTTGGCCCTGGCTTGAGATGCTGACCGAGGTCTACATTGGCCCAGCTTTTTCCCTCTTGCCTTTTTCAGTCCTGGCTCTTCTCATCTCCAGGTCCCTCCCCTGCCTCTGCATCCCACTCAGTAGACAATGTGATGTTGACTTGCCAGGCAGACTGGATCACTTGAAACATGGCAGGATTTGGGGTCTGCTAAGGGGCCTACCAGCTTCCCTTCACCCCCATCTGCACTCTAGTGCCATGCCTCTGCTGGACTGATGCGCCCCTGTTCACGACCTAGGAAGACACTCCTTTCCAATCAATGTGCCAGGTCAGGTGGTACAGCAGAATGAGAGGCTTTTGAGTGTAAAACAACCTAGAAAAGTTGAACTGCCCACAGGGACAAGTGGTTTCACTACAAACATAAGTTTTGACATAGATTTGTGTGTATGGGTGTGTGCTGTGCTGGATGGCGAATGAGTCTGGGGCTTCATGCAAAGCTAGGTAAGTACCACTGAGCAGCATCCCAGCCTCAAACGGATGTCCTTAACAATTTCTAGGGGCAAGCAGCTGGAAAGAACAGGACATTCTCCGGTATTAAAGGCATACGTGGGCACATGTGCCCCTCTGGCCATACACTGACTGAAGCAGACACTCTGACAGTAGAAAGACAGACAGCTCTGAGTTTCTTCATGTGTAAGGAATGGCAGGGAGAAGTCTCTGGGAACGGAGGCTCTCATCTGCAACATTCACCATTAAGGAAATTTGGGTTTCAAAGCCACAACAAAACACCACTTCATACCCACAGCAAGGTTACAATCAGACAATGTCAAAGGAAAGATAATACAGATGCTGGTGAGGGTGTAAGGACTCCGGATGGCACGTGACACTGTGGAGGAGGGAGTGTGCCCGGCTACAGCCGCTGTGAGACGCCCTGGCAGCTCAGCTTCTTGACTAACAGTAAACCCACTCTGTGACCCAGTGACTCTGAGAGAAATGAGAACACTGATGTATGGGGAGCTGTAAGCCAGCATGGGCAGCAGCAATGTTCCCTGCGGCTTCACCTTCTGGAAAGTGCCGCTGGGAAAGAACTCAAATGTACTTCAACCGGGTGGGGTGAACAAGACATGGCTACTCTGATACCCTGGAACAGTATTTGTCGATGACAAAAGACACTCCTCTGTCCATTTTCTTGTGAGTCAAATTAAGGATGAAATACACAAGATGCAAAACCCCCAAAACATTATGCTACGTGAAAAAAGTCAGTTATGAAAAGTGGCCTCCTGTATGAAATGACCAGAAAAAGGCAGTCTCCAGATCAGAGCACAGCCTAGTGGCTGCCTGGGGCTGGGCCGAATGGGTACAAGGGATTAGGAGCCTGGTGGAAACCTTCCAACACTGGACTGGGAACAGCTTTGTGGGTTTGCTGAGCTACTGAGTTGCTCACTTAGACACTCCATGCATGTAAGTTTACACCTCAATGTTGGTTTGTTAGTTTGAATTTTGAGTTAACATCTCTATTTGTCGCTCAAGCTGAGTTTGAACTCTTGGTCTCCAGTTCAACCTCATGAACAGCAGGGACGATAGGCATGCAGTGTTTTGTTTGATGTCATATGGGCGGGGAGAAAGACTGCAGCAAAACCAGTACCACAGCTCCGCAGCTCATGGACCGTGGTGCTGTGAGTGGATCCAGCAACCACAGGGAGGTGAATTTCCGCCCACGCTCAGCCAAGGTGTTGGACTGGTCCACGGCTATGGGCGGAGGAGAGGGACTGTAGCTCGGGTTTTCTTGTCTTTTGCTCTTGTTCCAAATCATAATTCTGTGGTTAATATGAGCAGGTGTTTGTGGCAGTCTGGCTTTGCTTTACAGCCCTACTGGAGTCTGTTCTACAGAAATACAATTGAGGAAATAAGTTATTGTTAAATGATGGGACCTGCTATTGTTCAACCTTGTGGGGGTCTCAGAACTTCCTCTATTTCAATGTCCTTATGAATAAAAATACAGCCGATAGGCCCTGCTTCCACGGGGTCACTGTTATTGAGCAAGATAATGCATACAAAGAACCTGAGTCCCTCCATCCCATCCCCCACCCCAAGGCTTCCCGTGCACCAATCTAAGTCATTGCATCCCCTTAGCCTGCTTCTGCCAGAGACTCTGCCAGCTACTGAAAACAACCATCTTATCCATCTCTTCCCGTAACCTCTAATTCCACATGCTTGGGGAGGTCCCCCATGGATGGCTTATTCCTCTCCATGCCTGGAAGTAAATTAATTAGCAGGAGCCAGGCTGCAGGTGTATGTGTGAGCTTAATGAGTTTGTCCTTGTAGCTGACATCAACTGCCGAGCAGAGTCCCCAGGGAGTGGGTGTCATAACTTTAACTCCACCTGTTCAGACTCACACAGATGTTGTCTGACGCCGAGCAGCACCAGCAGGGACCACCCCGACCACAGAAGCCATGGGAGGATGTCAACAGTCAGTCAGTGCCCATTATGCACAAGCTCTCTGGCCCGCACCAACACATCCAGACAGACCCCAGTGAGTAGGAGGGAGGGGCCAGAGGGCCTGAGTTTAAGCAGCCAGCAGGTGAACATCTCTGTGTGGGGAAGTACCCCAGTCATGGCCTAAGCACTCTTGATTAATGGCTGACCACAGCAGCAGCAGAGAATGGAGAAGACTGGGTCCCAGCATCACCCCTGCAGGATCCTGATTCATTAACGGGTGCTGAGGCTGTATTTAGTGGCTCCCTGTTCTGACCAAGTACCAGACATCTTTCCCTGCATGGGTCTAAGAAAAGACAACGTCCACACTGGTGGGACGATATGGCAGTGGAAAGATTCAGAGAGAGTCGGGGCCACCTGAAGTAAAGAAGCAAGGAGATGAACGTCAGCCACATCCAGGGTGGGGTTTCCCATCTCAGCTAAACCTTTCTGAAAACACCTTCATAGATGAATCTAGAGGTGTGTTTCTATGGTGATTCTAAATCCAGCCAGGTGGACGGTGAAGTTAACCACCACAGAGGTTGTTTCATTCAAAAAAAAAAAAAAAAAAAAAAGGCAATCAGACAGACATCTAATGCTTCCACAATCCTCTTGCAAGAAGCAATCTGTCAGTCAGCCAATCAAACCTGAACCCGACCAAACTCCTAGATCCAATATTCAGTCTAGAACAGCTGTTCTTAACTTGAGGGCACAACTCCTTTGGGGAGGTCAATCCAACCCTTTCACAGGGATCGTATATCAGATATCCTGCATATCAGATATTTTTATCACAATTCATAGCAGTAGCAAAATTACAGTTATGAAGTGGCAACGAAATACTTTTATGGCTAGGGGTCACCACAGCATGAGGGACTGCATTTTTTTTTTTTTTTTTTTTTTTTTGGTTTTTCGAGACAGGGTTTCTGTGTGTAGCTTTGCGCCTTTCCTGGAACTCGCTTGGTAGTCCAGGCTGGCCTTGAACTCACAGAGATCCGCCTGGCTTTGCCTCCCGAGTGCTGGGATTAAAGGCGTGCGCCACCAACGCCCGGCTATGAGGGACTGTATTAAAGGGTCGCAGCATTAGGAAGGTTGAAAGCCACTGGTCTAGAAGAACATATAGAGGCCAGGGGAATTTGTGACATGGTCCCATAGAGATGCCCTTTTCCAGTGTGTGACAGAGCAAATGCTGGAGTGTCACCAGTGAATGAATGACAGGGAATGAAGGCAGGGGAGGACACCTTGTTTGCAGGGGAAGTGTTCCCAGACTTGTGTGCCCAAGTATTAGTCCACACTTTTTTGGGAGGAGGTGAAAACTTCAGGAGGAATGTCAGCTAGAAGAAAGTCACTGGGGATATCTCCTGAGGGTATCTGTTTAGTTTAAAACTAAATCTATTTATTTGGAGGAGTACATATGTCATAACATGTTTGTGGAGGTCCAAGGACAACTTGTAGGAGTCAGTTCTCTCCTACCATGTGGGTCCCAGGGATTGAACTCAAGACATCAGTTTTGGTGGCAAATGCTTTTACCTGCTGAACCATTTCATAGCATCATAGGACATTCTCTCTCTTGTTGCAGGATATTTGATCGCACTATGACACCCTGAGACTGTGTTATTAAAGTTAACCTTGAATCATGGGGCGGAGCCAGTGACCAGCTAATCAGAATTAGCCATAGAGAAGCCAGGAATATGGATGGAGAAGCCGCACAGGAAGGAGTGGGGCGGGACTTAGAGATTTCGCAGTCTCTTCCATCTGGGAAGTGTGGAGAGATCAACTGTCGGCTCCTCTGCCGCTTCCTGGATCTATCAGGTTTTCACCCCAATATTTGACTTCCGAGTCTATTAGTAATAGAACACATCTCTCCCTCTCTTTCTCTGTCTCTCTGTCTCTGTCTCTGTCTCTGTCTCTCTCTCTCTCTCTCTGTGTATGTGTGTCCCTCTCCTCTTCCCTCTCCTTCCTGCTCCTCCTCTCCTTCCTCCTCCTCTTCCTCTTTCTCCATCCTTTAGAAGCTCCTCTGCCAGATGCTCCCATCTCCATAAAGTTCTGCCCAAGGCCCAAGTGACCATGGGCTGAACAGTGAACCCTCTGAAACAAAATGAGTTGTTCTGAGCCTCTGAGCCAAAATCAGTCTTTCCTCCTTGGTTGCTTCTGTGAGGCATCTGCCACATCAAGGAGAAAAGAAACGGATGCACATCTGGAGATGAAGAATGACCTAAGAAACACATCTGTCCTGTTGCATAGGCCACATCAAATCCTGATTCCAACAGAGAATGAGAAATTGTCTAATACACACGAGACAGACAGAACTTCAAACACTGACTGAAATGTTTGATGACATGAAAGAACGTTATTAAGTTTTTAGACACATTAACAGTCTTGCATGCTTCGTTCCCTTTGTGGTTCTGAAGTTAGAACCCAGGCCCCATGCATGTGAGGCAAGCGCTCTGACCCTGAACTATACCCCCCAGTCCTCGTAGCTACATTAAGAATCTTTGTCTTTCAGAGATTCCAAGGCCAGGAAGAGGGGTCAGATGACGGCTGGCATTTGCTTCCAAACAGTTTGGGAGGCGTGATAAAGGGGAAGTGGAGACAGTCAAGACTGGGTAGGAGCTAAAACTGGTGATGAGCCGCTTGGGACTTCACTGTCCTGCTTCTGCTATGCTATGTAAGTCTCCACAGCGAGGGAGCACAGCTCTCCACAGCGAGGGAGCACAGATCTTCACAGCGAGGGAGCACAGATCTCCACAGCGAGGGAGCACAGCTCTCCACAGCGAGGGAGCACAGATCTCCACAGCGAGGGAGCACAGATCTCCACAGCGAGGGAGCACAGATCTCCACAGCGAGGGAGCACAGCTCTCCACAGCGAGGGAGCACAGATCTCCACAGCGAGGGAGCACAGCCAATGATTAGATTCGGTGCTCTCTGCTTTCTCTGTTTTCCTTCTGACCCAGTACCACCACTCTCCAGATGCACTATTACTTAACGAACTACCAGGGAAAGAAGAACGTCTTGCTGATTAAACGATATGCCATCCCTGAGAACACAGAGCTGTCAACGTGGAAACACACTTTAGAATCCACAGACGCCATTATCGTTGCCATTAGTAAACTCCAGCTGGCACTGAGCCAGCATTTCCGTGAGCTTATCATTATGTAAAGATCCGTTAATCTCCTAACAACTGTATGAGGATGCCCTCATTTTATGGATAGATAAAAGGAAGGCCCAGAGAAGCTAATTAACTTGCCCCAGAGTCACCCAGCCAATAAGATTCCTCCCTGGGATGTGACCCAGGATCATCTGTCTATCCAGAGTCTGTAGATGTCTTTCCTCAGTGGGAGGAAAGCCTTGTACCCTAAGCCACCTCCGTGTGCACAGTAGCCCAGGGGAGGCAGCTACTCGGACTCCAAGGTTGCAAGCCCCACCCCACCCCCGCGCTGGGGGAGAAAGAGGAAGAGAGGGTGCTCACAGTGTCTGGATGGCCCGCAGGGAGGTGAAGGTCCCCTTGGCAAGACTCTGGATCTTGTTGTCATACAGGGAGAGCAGAGAGAGGTTCTGCAGGTCTTGGAAGGCGTCGGGCCGGATGCAGTTGATCTTGTTGGCATTCAAAAGCCTGCAGGCAGAGACAGCTGGGAGGTAAAAGCGTGGCAAGGCCTGAGCCCTCACATGTCCTGCACCATCCTGGCCCCGGACACTGGCGACCTCAGGCCACTCCACACTGCTTTCTCCTTTCCTGTCTGCAGGCTAACTCTCCAAGTTGGCTGCAGGAGAGCACAGAGGCAGCGGGGTTCCTCCTTCCCACAATCCTGTGGGGTCCCCATGCATGCACAGTGGTGTTTTGATATAGTGTCATCCAGGTCTAGATTCCTGGCCTGAATTCTCTTGATTCCAGGAGGCAGAGCTGACCTGGGAACCCCTGCAAGAGACAGCCCTGTCCCCAAGAGCTCAGGAACACAGGTCACATCTCATGAGCCTCTGGATCCTGATACTTAACAATCAGCACTGAGCCCACCTCTGCTTCCACATCTGGTCTCAGAGCCTTACTCAGGCAGGACTTCTTTATGTCCTGTCTCAAATGAGCCTTGTACCCTAAGTGTGGTATGAACTGAAGTTCCCAGAAAAAGCCACGGTGTTAAAGACTCTACAAGGCTGTGTGCCTGCTAGAACTTGATGACTGAGAAGAGCTGGAATAGTTAAAACCCAGAGACAAATTCTCTTGGATGTTCCCCGAAGAGCCGTTCACTTCCCATCTCAGAACCTGACCTGGTACCCTCAGGTACTGTAAGGTCCAATGTTTGGGCGATATTAACAGACTCATAGCTCCTACCAACCCCAAAGCTAAGACTATCATCAGACAGCATCTGCAACCTATCTCAGAGAGCAGAGAGCTGGGGTTTGTGCCTCTGGGAAGCCAGAGGGATGTGTACCCAAGGATATCCCAGAACCGTTCCTTACAGCAGCTGGAGGGTGTACAGGCCTCCAAACACACCGCGGGGCAGGTCTGTGATCTTGTTGCCATAGAGGACCCTGGAGAAAAGCAGCAGAGAGGGCGGGTCAGAGGGCAGCTTTGTCAAGCCTCAGCAGGGCTCTGCAGCCCCACGGGCCTTTCACAGGCACCACCAAGATGTTTACTATAGCAGCTTGCCAGCAGGTAGCAGTAATGAGTCTTCAAGAGGTCTGTCTCCAGGAGGCAGGAAGATACCCGCCCCACTAGAGACAGATTACAGCAGCTGGGATGTAATGCTGCTGCCGTGTTTACCCCTCTGCCCACTCCCACCACCTTCCAGAGATGTCCGCAGAAGCGCCCTTCCAAGGGACCTCACAAAAAAAGTCATTCAGTCTCAGATCCAAAGGAGAGATGGTCTCCGGGCAGAAAGGATGAACACATTTTCAGAGAGACGCAGGGAAAAAATAGCCCAGCAGACAGCACGTGTGGTGGGTGGTGGGATTGCAGGGGGTGTATTTTTACACTTTGATATTTGCAAAGTTTTCCACACTGAGCATGAATGAACCTCATGTGTAATAGAGGGAGAGGGGAGCACAGTATTAAAAAAAGAAAGATGCAGACAGGAATGTACTCAGGCAGACAGTGATACACTGCAGGCGCTGGAGGAACGAGGAGCGTGCATTTTGTTCGCAGTGTGGTGATCAGTCAGAGTGAAAAGCCTGCATGTTGTCTCCTCAGATATAGCTTGTAGAGTCTTCCCAGAGGAGGGCATGGCAGGGGTAAAGGCCCTATGGTGAGGACCACGCAGAGCACAGGGAAGGTGACTGGAATGGGGGAGAGCAACAACCAGACTCGGGACTTGGTCAGATGTCTGCCTCTGGGCTGTGCTGGGAGCTGCAGGGTGAAGACGGAGTAGAGGGAGAAAGTGGGCAGAAAGACAAGGCCAGGGCTGGCTACGGCGGACACAGACAACGGGGCTCATGTGTTTGAGCCCAGCATACAATTTCTTATAGAGCAGGGGAGTGGCTTTGGCCCCAGGAGTGACAGGACTCCACTGAAAAGGGTTATTATCACCTCTAAACTGTATTGGTCCAATGTAAGGTAACCATATTCATGTCTCAGAGGAAACCAACCAACCAACCAACCAACAAACAAACAAACACCCTCTGCAGGCCGGGCCACAGACAGTCTGATCATCTCAGCCATGGTCAAACTCATATTCAGGCTGTCATATACAGCTGTGTGGGCTGTGCATTGCACAGCTGTGTGGGCTGTATACTGAATAGCTGTATGGGCCGTGCGCTGCACAGCTGTGTGGGCTGTGTACTGAATAGCTGTATGGGCCATGTGCTGCACAGCTGTGTGGGCTGTGCACTGCACGGCTTCATGGGCACCGTTCACAGTCGGCCTTAACATCTTGGACTCTACTCCAAAAGAAGGCATGCATAGAAGCAGCGAGCTGACTGTCTCCTTTCCTCCCTGGCAGTGAGATGTCCATCCATTCTGCTGACCGGGCCGCTAGGCCATGCAGTCACGTGTTAGTGTTGCCCTGTGACCGAGAGCATCATAGGACTCTGAGCCACGAGGAGCTTGGCCAGCTGCAAGACCCAGAAGACCTCGGTGGTGCTCTACTCACAGGGAATTCAAGGAGCGGAGGCCCTGGAAGGCATCGGGCGCGATCTCAGCAATCTGGTTGTTGCTCAGGTCTCTGAAAGGGAGCAGGAAGAAGGTGGCTGCCTCCTGAGGCACCTCCCAACCACACGGGGCACAGGGCTTCTTTGCTAATAGAAAGGCCAGCTGCCCACCCAGGCACACACCCACAGGCTGCTCTTTTTCTATCCCTCCCGCTCAGGAAAAGACATTCTGCCTGGGCCCAATGGCCTTCTCACTACCCTAATGGCTTCTGTCTGGAATAATAAGGTGACAAGCAGCTGCAGACATGGGTCAGACTTGGACTCGGTGCCCCCACCCAGGCCTCAAAGCCACCCTGCCACCCCACATCCCAGACCATAGCCCTGATGCAGGAAGGCCAGGCAGGCGGGCTGGGGTGGGACTGTAAGACAGGACTGGCCCAGACTCTTCCTCCTGCCTGCTGGAGATTGCCGGGAAAGGCTTCACTCACATCCGGCGCAGCTTTCTGTAGGGGGAGAAGGCTCCTGGCGGGATGGATTTGATACCATTCAGCTCCAGGCGGCTGCAGGGAGAGGGTAGGCGTGAGAAGGCTGAGGGTCACCCTTAGTAACAAACTGTTGGCCCTGCAGCCCCTTCACCTGTGGAGCCAGAATCTGGCAAGTAGACAGATATCAACTGTGATCTGAGCCCCAGAATCCTGGCCTTCTGTGGCTGAATGGGCCCCAAGGTGATGCTATACTAAGAATCCCACACTGGCAGCCCCATCCAACTGGGCTGGGTGTGGACCTTAAAGGGATACCCTCTCCCAGTGTTTGGGAACTTCCCAGCCTTGTGCAAAGTGAACAGCTGAGTCAAGAGACAATTTTCTCCATTTGCCATTGAATAACCTGGGGAAGCCCAGAGTGGCACCTGCCCCAGCTCTTCACTGGTGGACAGAACTTGACTGAACCGCAGAAGCTGCATCCTAGAGCCCTGCACTCACATCTCCGTCATGGTCTCAGGCAGGTTAGCAGGGATGGCGGTGAGGCCTTTGCCACGGCAATCCACAATGCCACTGCTGCAGGTGCACATGGCTGGGCAGGAGCCGGAAGAGAGGGTGCAGGTGGGTACTCGTGTGGCCTCCCCCTGGCCTGCAGAGACAGTGGATGTGATGTCAGAGAATCCCACACAGCTGCCGCCTCTCCAGATCTGCAGCTGGGTGAGGACAGGGACAGTCTGTGGAGGGGGCTCAGTCACAGGAGCTCCGCAAGGGTGCAAGAGTACACACTGATGTGCTCGGGGGCACCTGGCACTCTCTGAACTCAGGCTGAACAGAGCGGATTGCTCTCAATGGTGATTCCTATGCTAGCAATTCTGAAATTCTATACTAGAATTCTGAAACTCCAAACCTCTCAGCCTCCTGAGCCAGGACCCCCATATGCACAGGAGCTGGGGTCACTGAGCACCGGCTCTGTGCTCACACCATGTTTAGTACAGTCCATGCAGTCACACACGAACCCTCCTGCAGCACCCAGGGAGGAACATTTTATCATCGCCTGTGCCCACGACACTCAGTGACTAAGCGTCAGAGCCGGGGTCAAGCCCACTATGTGATTTCAAAGTTCACACTTTTAAATACTGTGGTATAACTTACATGAGGCTCGCCATTTTAAATGCACAGCTGGTTGAAACACTACCCAGACAGGGTGCATTTCTATCCCCAAGAAGTTCCTTCTGGCCCCTCCCTTCCTTAAGGATATTGCTATTCTGAGATGCAGCACCAAAGATCTGCTACTCTTGTTTGTGAATGTTACTTAAGCGCAATCACAAGGGAGGGTCTCTTCTGTTTATAAAAACCCCTGAGAGTCACTTTGTTGAGTACTTAAGTACTTATTAAGCCCTTTTAATTGCTGAGTAATATTCCACTTTACTATGAAAACATCATTAGTAAATCTACCCTCGAGCATGTTTTTATGTGCAACAACAAATGCATAGAGAGCCCAGGAAGCAGCAGAGTCCTGGTTGGTGTTCCCTCACTGGGAGCCAAGGGGAGAGATCTATTAACGTGGCTGTGGTGAAGCCACAGGAGAGAGAGGGGGAACTAAGGGGGAAGGAGCGAGGTGAGGAAAGAGAGGTGACCGCATAAGGAAAAGGAGAAGGTATGGAGACTGGGAGAGAAGCGGGCAGAGTAGAGGGACAGAGGATTAAGGGTAAGTGGTGGAAAGAGAGGAGTCAGGAAAGAAAACATACAGACCAAAAGAGATGGGTGAGAGCGGAGGGGAAAAGACCGGCAGCGGGAGTGGAAGATGACACCGATCAGAGGTGATGGGCAGAGAGAGGAGGTGACAGAGGGCAGGAGGTGGAGATATGATGAGTGGTTACAGGTGCTCATCACAAGCAAGGGATGGGGCAGAGGGAAGCAGCCGTGTTGCAGGTGGTGGGAGCAGGTGAAGGCCGCGCACGGCACCCGCGCGCACGGCACCCACCTGAGCAGCTGAACTCGCTCTTCTGCACTTCTGCCACGTTGAGGCCCCGAAGGCTGGCGGGCCCGGAGCACTGGGTGAAGAGCCCGATGGTGGGCCTCTGCCTCAGCCACTGCGAGAGCCAGGCCAGGTGACAGTCACAGAACAGGTGGTTGGAGTGCAGTCGGCTGCAGGAGGACAGCAGCTCACAGCAACAGAACTCCACCAGATCCGTCCGCAGCCGCCTCCTCCCTTCCCCGGGCAGGAGGCCTTGGGTCCTTCACTCAGGCCCAACCTAGGACTGCTCCCTGATGCAAAGAACTCTTCCTGGCTCCCTTCTCTCCCAGCCTGCTCTATGACCTGGCTTCATCTCTCAGAGTTCACATGGTCCCTGGCCCAGATCACCCACCTCAACTTCAAGGACAAAACCAAGTCATTTGTTGTCTAAGGAAAAACCAAGCACAGGAGGTATTGGGTGCCTTTCAAGTGCCAACCCCAGGCTACCCCTGGCTGGCCCCTGGGCTGTGGAGGGCAGCCCCACCCACACCCACACCCTCTTCCCACTGCCCAGGTGACTCACAAGGTCCGAAGCTTGGGCATGTGGTTGAAACTGGACACGGGGATGGTGGTGATGTTGTTGTTGTTCAGTGTCCTGAAAGGGACAGACAGACCATTTAGCACCTGCCCAGCAAGGACTTACAGGAGACAGGACCCATCTGCTCACATAGAGGCCCTCAGGAAAGGTGTGACAATTTACCCAGAGGGGGAGCAGCCCTGCTCTGGGTGTGAAGGTGGAGGAGACAGTCCAGAGCCAGGCAGGTGACTGCACCCTTGCCACACCACGGACTCTAAGTCTGGGAGGACAGGGGACAGAACTGAAAAGGGCCACAGAAGAAAGGGCAGCTTATCCACAAAGCGGGGAAGAGCCGCTTCTCAGCCTCCACAGTGGGAAGCGGCCAAACACCCCTGTCTGGGAGGACTTTGGGCAGTAGATCTACACCACAGCTAAGGTGTGACCCTGACCCCCTGCATCGGCTCCCCAGCCACGGCCTGCCCTGGGTTTACTTACAGAACCTCTAGTCCCCGCAGGGCACGGAAGGCCCCTTCCTCGATACAGCTGATCTGGTTCTTGTCCAGCTGTCTGTAAAGCAGAGACGAACTATAAGGAGGGGAAGATTGCCCAGAACAGGGGGCTGAACATTTTGAAAGAGGAGAGTCATAGCATCAATCATTTGTTATGCGTGTGTCAGTCCAAAGTAGAGCTATTAATAAAAGCTGACTTCTTATTTTCAGTTAAAACAATAAATTGAAATAAAAGTCCTATTACACTGCTCTACCCAGCCCTGTATGCCCTTGGGAAGCAGGCATCCTTCCCTCACATTCTGGAGACCACCTAGAGTGTGTTGGCGGCCGACAAATGAAAGTCACCCAGGAGAAGTAGCAGCAGGGCCTGGCAGCCAGAACTCTGCTGAATGCCAAGTGAGATCAGCTAGCGCTGACTACCTGGAGTGCTGCTTTCAGAGCGAAAGGAAGCTGTGATCTGAGTTCAGTGGGAAAGAATGTGGTGATCGATTACCAATGTCTGCTACAGGCATGGGAGGGGGGTGTGTGACAAGCATGCCAGGCATTTGCCATTTCTGTTTGTAGCCAGACCTCAGGAGGTGGTAAGCCTGGACTGGAATAAATTTGAATGCTAATAAACCATTGCATTTAAATAGTGCTCCACAGAGTGTATGCATTTCCACATCTCATTTCAACCTCAGAATAAGCTTGTGGAGGGCACATTGTTTTCCTGAACAATATATGGAGGCTCAGTGACACTGACTGACTTCCAGCAGCTTATGCCGTGTAACCAAAGGAGACTAAACCCAGCTCTTAACCCAAAGAGTCAGAGGGCACCGGAGAACCAGAGGCTGGGAACATGTCCTGGCACCCCATGGCTCAAACGCTGCTCAACCCAGTCCCCAGAGCATACCTCCTGAGCACACGCTTGGCTGTCACACAGAATCACAAGCAAGGGATGGCACTGCCAATTCCCTCTAAGGTGGCTTAGAACACAGGGTACAGACGAGGATATTGCTGGGATGGCCATCCCAGGCCTCCACTCACAGATTTTTGAGGTCTGTGGCTCCCCGGAAAGCCTTCCTGGGCACAGCCTGGAGGACATTCTCACTCAGGTCCCTGGGGAACAAACAGAAAGAGAGAAGTTACCAGTCAGGGAAGCCATGGTGAGAAGTGAGGCCAGTGGCCTCCTGGTGACCACATTCCAGCTTCTGGATGGGCTCCTGCGGCTCTGTAAACTGTGACTAAATGAACAAACCATGGAGTTAGAGAGGAGCTTTCTGTCCTGACAGACAGACACTCTGTCCCCAGCCACCTCCCCTCTGGGCAGAGGATGGTTGAGAGAAACTCCCAGTAGCTGTGATCAGCTCTAGCAGGTCCCCCATGACTGGCTGAACCCCAGCTGCGTAGGAGGGAGCTCTCCATGGCCCTCAGTTGTTCTTGGCTTCCTCTCTGTTTTGCTGGCGAGGGAGCTGTGACTGCTGGAGGAGACGGATCCAAGTGGCCCACCCAGTCATGACCTAGGCTGCGTCTAATTCCACATCTACTCTGGGGGATTGCAGACAGCAGAGCACAGGGAAGCCTGGACCCCCTGGGGACCAGGCCACAGCCCAGAGCACCATGCAGCCCTAGCTGGTTCCCTGCCTTCAACCCTGACCCCAGCAACTGCAGGAGAACCCCAGGCTTGACCACCGCCCCCCACCCCTGCAACTACTGCAGAACTCAGATCACCAGCTCTCCTTTTTGTCTTGTTTGTTTGTTTGGGGGGCAACTAATGATACAGCCATCCATGGGCAATTGAAGGGTGCTCAAGAGGAATGTCTGCGGGAAGTGAGGACCCCTAAGAGCCTTGTGGAAAGGAGGGAGGGACAGGACATGCCAACACTACGTTCCTGCACCCACATAGTGTTAAACACTCAGTTACACTGCTTCTCCTTCTCCTGTGTGAAATGCATGGACTGGACCAAATGCTCTATAAGCATCCCACCAATGGAGTCCCCCACATGTGAGGGCTCAGAGACACACGCTGTGGCCTGAGCATTGTATACCTCTATCCATTCCTGTGTTGGAGCCTAGTTACAGAAATGGTGGTGCTAGGAGGTGGAGCCCGCGGGAGAGGACTATGCCAGGACCGAGCACTTAGGAACAGAATTGGCACCTCATAGAAAGAAGCCTCAGAGGGCTGGTGTGAAGGTGAAAAGAACCTAAGGAACCTGAATGTCCAGACTCACATGGGGGTGGAGAGAACTGACTCCTGACAGTTGCCTTCTGACCTCCAGATTGTGTTCCGTGGCACATGCACCCTCCCTCAACGCCCCCAGTCAATAAATTAATACACTGTAAAAATTGTAAGGACCAAAGTGCCTTAAACAGTTGTCTGCCCCATCCCTGTAAGAGGCCTCAAGATGTCTGATTTCTGTGAGTCAGAAAGTGGGCCCTCCTCACACACCAAATTTTGAGCCTTGCCACTGAAAATCATGAGAAATAAATTTCTGTTGCTTATAAGCCACCCACCCTGTGGTATTTCATTACAGCAGCATGAATAGACTCAGACACATGATTGGTGAGGGGCTTGGCTCTTTGGGGCCCTTTACATCCCTGAAGTGAGGGGCCACCACTACCGGAGGCATGTGGGAGGTGGGGAGAAGATAAAGTAGAACTGTTAGCTATCTTCAGCCCACAGGGGAGCAGGGAGACAAGAAGGCCTGCTGTTTAGAAAAGACAAAGGCAGGGAGGTGTGCCCTAGAGAATGTGGGGGTCCATAGGGGAGCAGTAACTCCAGGAAGCCCCTCAGCACAGCACATCAGGCAACTCACCCCCAGGCAGAGCCTGAGAGAGAATCCTGGGCTGTCTCTCCCATGCATTAGCCACTTAATCCCCCCCTCAGACCTGCAAGGAGGTTTGTTATCCGTATTGATTAGCTGATCAGTGGAGCCCAAGCCTGTTCCATGCAGACTTTACAGTAGCTTGCAGGGATTTACAACCCAGCCAGGGAGCAGGCAGGAGGATTCAGCAAAGAGAAGAAAAATCAATGGTGGGTCCTCTGAGTATGCCATGTGATTCACAGGCTTACCAACCAGGGCAGAGTAGGGGCTCAGTGCTTCCCAAGAGCCAGTGAAGGGGGATCAGCAGTACACATGATCGATGTGTAGTCTAAATGGATCCGAATGTCAGGAGTACAGCTGTTTGGGCACTCAGCTGAGACAAGAATTCCCCCAGGAGTCTTTATGAAAAATGGCGGCGTGGCCTCGGCAGTAACACTGGATCCTTATAATAAATGGGTTTTTAGTGTTTCTTATCACAGCATTGTGTCAAAGTGTGTCTCAGGAAATCAGTTCTGCAAGCACTCATACCAGCAACCAACCGAGGAACGAAGGCAAGGGCAGCTGGCAGGCCTGGCATAGCCTGGAACAATGAGGTCAAGAGAGAGCCTGCAAAGATGGACCGGAGAGGATGACGGTCCAAGCTTGTGGACACTGCCTGGGACGAAAGCTCCCAGAGTACAGAGCGGGTAGAGTGGGACACTGAGAGCTTTGGGGTGGATGCGGAGGTAACCCACTTGAGAAGCCAAGCCAATCCTGGCCAGTCAGTCCACAGCAGGAAGCCTCTCTCCTATTTAAATGACCAGTGGAACAGTTTGTAAACCTAGAGAGGCAGCATGAAGGCCAGCAGGAACAGGCAAGCCTTGGCAGCCTCAAGAAAGTGCAGGGAGCTGACAGTAAGAGGGAGAGCAAGGGGGAGAGCGGGAAGACGTAGGGGTTCAACTGCTTCTGCCGGCACCAGCCATGGGACCCTAGAACCCAGAGGGCTTTGTAGGATGGACATTGTCTGTCATGCAGGACCTGGTGGAAATCCTGTGAGTGCACGGTTTAACATTTAAACCTCATTTCCGTTTACCAGTATTCAGAAAATGGGGCTTTTGTCCCTCCTTTCCCCAAAGCCTCACAATTGTTTCCAGAGTGGCCACTAGGGTGCGCCAGAGGCCTTTCCTGGATTTGATACACAGTCGCAACCTTCAAAGCCAGGCAGGTCTCACTTTTTGCTGCACTTGACTTGCCTGGGGACACGTTTCTTGTCTTTGTCATCACTACCACCCCCACCCACCCACCCCCAGATAAAGCTGCTCGTCTCCGCTTGCACATGGTCCGTGTGGAAATCCCCACAGCCCAGCCCAGACTTTGCCCCAGCCCTCAGCTTTCTGTCATCCTCAAACTCAACCTCCTCCATGATGGTCACAGGACCCTCAAAACGAGAAGAATGGCCAGACATGTGTGTGAGAAATAAGGGGTCCCTGGGGAGAGCAGAGCATGGTCTGGTCCTGGTGATGTGGAAATCTCAACCAGCAGAGACCACATGTGTGTTCAGAGAGAGTCGAGAACTCAGGCTTCACAAGCACAGGGCCAGGACCCTCACTACTGGCTGGGAGGTGGACAGCAGAGCCTGTTTGGAGGTCAGGAAGAGGTTACTGATAAGGATGTGGAAGCCAAGGTATAGTGGAGAACACCCACAACTGGATGCCATGGTGGCGAACACCCACAGCTGGATGCCATGGTGGACGGGTTCAGCTAGCCCTGACTGGGCCACCTACATTATGAGGTATTGGGCAGCCCTGCACCTAGAAAACCCTTTATCTTTCCCTTTCCCTAGCTTCCAACTGTTCCCTCTCCTTCACACACACACACACACACACACACACACACACACACACACACACACCAGTTTCCTGTGTATTGGATTGACATATGGATGTTTAATTACCACCCATCTCCCCATAATCTTCCAAAGGCAGCATATCCCGGGGCTGGTGCATTGCAAAGCCTCCATAACCTTAACTGAACTCAGCTAATGAAGATACTCAGTGACTCCCATGCTGACACTCTCATATCCTGGCCAGAGCAAGGGACTGGGACAGGATGCCGCCCTGGGGAGGGAAAGACTTGGGTCAGACAGGAGTCTCTGCACTGCTGAAACCCCCAGTGCCCAGCCAGTGCTTTGGGGTTTCTTGTGCCTGCTCTGTCATGCAGATGGCCCCTAAGGCAGAGCAGCGCCACACAAGAAGCTGGCATTGTGGATGATGTCATCTTGGTCTTGTGCTTCCCTTCACACATCCAGATGAAATACTGTGCTTCCAGGAAGGGATCTGGACAGCCACTGAGGAAGGTAAGGGTCTGTCCTGGGAGCCTCCAGAGAAGGAAGTCTGTTCTAAGGAGTGTGGTAAGGGTCCTGTAGGCAGAGACCCCCCAATATAGCCTGTATCCTATTCCCAAGGGCCAAAGCTCTTGAGGCAAGTTTCTACCCCCTGTCATGCCCATTGGGTATGGGCACTCAACCACTCCTGCCTCTCCCTGACTTAGACACTCTCCCAAGTGTCTGCTCCAGCCCCCTTCCACACTCTGACAAGCAGGGGAGCCAAGGTCAGGACCCCATGTTCTCACTGCTAATCCCCTTTAGGTTCTAACCTCTAACTGGTCTCAGCAGGCACATCGCTCTGAGGGGATTAGTGGGGCCCAGTTAGGGCAGGGCATTGGGCACCAGCCAAGGCCAGCCTGGGCTCCGGGCTCTGACATGGATCTGCTGCCCCACTGCAAAGCTCTTTATTTTGTGGCTCTTCAAGCCATAGGGAGGTTCAGCACAACCCAGTGTTCCAGGGTACCTTATCCATGGTTTCCTTATCAGCAGATTGCCAGGTCGTAGACCTGGGCCCGGAGCACAGCAAAGCCAGTCAGGCGTGCACTGAGCACCTTGTACAAGTCTTTGGCTCCAGGACCATGTAGGGGGTGGCTTGACTTCTTCTTCAGACAGCACAAGTAGTTGTCATGGTTGGAGCAGAGGAGTGGGAGAGCTCAGCTAAAGCTGCTGTTAGGTCGTTGTTTGGGGGCTCTGTGATAAGAACACTGCCGGGGATGTCTTTCTGTATGCTGTTAATGTGTTGCTCTGATTGATTGATAAATAAAACGCTGACTGGCCAGTAGCCAGGCAGGAAGTATAGTATAGGCGGGATAAGGAGAGAAGAGAATTCTGGGAAGCAGAAGGCTGAGTCAGGTGACACTGCCAGCCGTCGCCACCATGAGAAGTAAGAGGTAAGGTACCGGCAAGCCACGAGCCACATGGCAATTTAT